TGCACCCTGTGTGCTTGCTCTTTCTGTATGCATGTTGTTAGGTTAGTTGTGGTTAGAATCAATTGGCTAATTCCCTCACACTAAAGAACTGTGTATTGTTACTGAGTGATCATCATTGCCATAAAAGAGATGCATTGTTGCTGAGCTATTCCTCACTGAAGTGTTAAATATGTATATTTTGATTCTCTCCATTTTAAGACCTGTGTGAGTATAAGTTGCTGGGTAAATCTGCCAATGCACTTTGTTGCCATTGTCTACATATCCTAATTCATGACTCTTCTAGAACATGCATATGTAAAACAAGTGTCTCCTGAAAGCCTAAGTATACAAATAATTCTGCCATTCGTAGCTGTAACCATCTTTATGCTGCCCTTTCATATATTAATATATTGGATCTGGTTTTCTTGGCTGGCCAGGAAGAGAGTGATCCGAGAGTGGAGGAATATCAACATCAGTCCCTTGTCATGACTACATCACTTGTTGCTGAGATTTTGACTTTCAGCAGCTTACCTTCTCCGCAGAGGCAGGGGCCCTATTTGGATGGTTTGCTTTTGGAGGCTGATGGAGCAAATTGGTTTTCAGATGATTCGGAGCTGGCGGGGCAGGGGTGGGATTTTCTGATGGGTACAGTTGATGCTTTGTTGAAGCCCTGGCTGATCTGTGGAATATGCAGAAGGATTATTGGTCTGTTAACGTTAGCAGCCCCAAATATCCCCTCTTGCTTCATAAGGCTCTTCTAACTTCTTGGTATACACCAGAGCTTAGGGCAATGAAGCAAGGTGGGAGATGGCTTCTTCGCAGGCAAGTGGAGCAAAACTTCAGGTGAATACAACCAAACACCCGTGAGTGCTCTTTATTGAGCCTAATCTTTGCTAGTGAAGAAGACATACATTGCTGCTTCCATTGCATCCTCATTGTGTTGTCTGGCGGAGCTTTTCCAGGTAGTATGGGGCCTTTTACATTGCCCAAAGGAGGCAATAGAATGGACAATGGCTTGCTGTGTCTTGTTTGCCAAGCATTTTGAGGATAAAGTCTTGTGCATCTGCCAGGATCTTGGCTCCGCGATTACAGATGAATCTCAAGTGGTGTCCAGAGCACTTTCTAGTCCTCCTGTTCTCGATCAGTTTCAGTTCGTAAGGTTGTGGACAAAGTGCTTGGTTTGCTTTGTCCTCCACTTGTGCTCTTGCTGATAGCAACTAATGGACCACCAGCTGGGCCAGGGGGGTGATTAATGCCTCATTGCAAATAGGAGGTAGCCCATACCTACCTAAAGAAGGTAATTGTAAGACCACTCCTTAAGAAATCCTCAGTGGATTCAAAAACGTTAATTATCTAACATCCCCTTTGAGGGGAAGGTTCTTGAGTGTTTGGTCGTGGGCCAGAGCCCAGCTCTTTTGGATGAAACCAATTTTCTAGAACCATATCAATGGGGGTTTAGGTCTTGTTTTCACACAGAAAGTGCTTTGGTCACCCTGTATAATGACCTTTGTCAGGAGAAAGTCAAGGGTGTGTGTATGCCTGTTAATTCTCTTTGATCTCTCAAGATGTTATGGTATAGTGTGTTATTCTGGAGTGAATGTCCTAGTTGGGGTGGACAGCACCACTCACATCTACATGAAACCACTGAGTAAGCTCATCTGGAGTTTGGGAGTCGTTGTCAGCAATATGTTGATAATAGGCAGATCTGTTTCTCCTTTAGATGTCGCAGTGGTCTAGGTGAGAACCAATAAACTGAAGCTTAATCCAAATAAGTATTGGTGGGTTCTCTAGATTGGCTGGGTGGGCCCTCGCCTGTTCAGGATGGGGGTTGCACTCCCTTGGAATGAATAGTTGCACAGCTCGTGGGTGCTTTTGGAACCACTACGTATGTCTGAGACTGACATGGCCTTAGTGGCCAAAGTGCTTTCCATCAGCTTTGGTTGCTGGCCCAGCTAGACCCCTATGAGGATAAGGATAGCCTACCTTCTGTGGTCTGTGTCCTGGCAATAGGTTAGATTACTGCAATGTGTCACATGTGGGGTTACTTTTGGAGACTGTTTGGAAACTGCAGCTGGTGTAGAATTCAGTAGACTGATGGCTGACCAGAGCAAGATGGACTGATCATATAGCACCAATCTTGGCACAAGTGCATTGTGTACTAGTAGGTTTGTGGACTCAATTCAGGATGCTGTTTGTGACCTATAAAGCTTTATGTGGTTCAGGGCCTCGGTATACCAAGAGCTACCTCTTCCACGTAAATCAGTCTGGACTCAACATTCATCATCTGAGGTTCATATCTGTGTGCCCCCTCTGAGGGCCTTCTCAGTGGTGGCTTTCTTTTTGTGGAATGCTTTTTACTCTTAATTTATAGGGGAAAGGCTCTTCTGCTCATTTTTTGAGTGGCGTGGGTTGATTTGGATCCACCCATTTGTGTACTGTGTACAGTATTATGAATGAACATTTTAGGTATTTATTTTATTCCTGTTCTTATACTTGGCTTTATTTAATGTTTTGTTTTTATATTGCAAGTTGCTTTGCGTCACTTTTGTGAAAAAGCAACCAGCAAATAATAATGTAGTTCTTTGGAATCATTCTGCAGATTGAACCAAGAAGCTTGTGCACTTTCCAATTTATTCATGCTTCAGCAGAATATGGTAAAGTCTGAAACATGCTTGTAACCTCGTTTTGTGTTGTGGTACTAGCAAGGTTGTTGAATGTAAAGCAAGAATGCCAATAATCCTCAAAATGCGTAAGTGTATTACACCTAGAGATAATAGGTTATTTGCTTCGAATAAAAAAAATTATATCTCTCTAGCATTGTTAGCAGTTTGTATTTGCATGTGAATAGTAATGTTTAGTGTTTCCACTTAGGTGCTGCATACAAGGTTGTAACTGATGGCCAGGATCCAAAGTAACAGCTGGACTAGTTCCACGTGCCTAAGGGGAATTTATTGAACAGCAGAACCTTGTCTAGTTTATGATATGGTATTATCCATTATTCAGAAGAATAAAAAATCCTACTCGTTGCACAGAAGTCCTTGGACACACCCAAGAATCCCTCTAGCACTCAGGCAGCATGTTCTGAATTTCTTTTTTTCTTTGTGAAAGACCAAGGAGCAAAAATACAGTGTAAGGGGGAGTGAATAAAACTGTATCTCCCTCTAGTCCTTATGGTGATATTACAGTATGAGAAGGATTAGACGACATACATTGGATGTACAAGGTCTCTGGTACTTCCAGCTAAAGCAGGCATGTCCAAAGTCTGTTTCGGGGGCCTAATCTGGCTCGCCGGTTGATATAATCCGGCCCCTGTGGCAGTACATGTCCTGGGGTAAAATTGTAAAAAAAAAAAAAAGTGCAACAACTTTGGGGTAAAATTGTAAAAAAGCTCAGCAAACTTTGGTCGGCCCTCACATATGTTCACTTCATCAAATCTGGCCCTCTTTGAAGAAAGTTTGGGCACCCCTGCGCTAAAGGATCTTGGCTAGCAGGGTTGGAAAACATCTCTGCCTGAGGCTTTGAAAAACCATTGATAGTCAGTGTAGACGATGATGGGCTAGCTAGGCCAATAGTCTGACACTGTAAGGCCACTTCATAGGTTGAATTCTATGAAGACAAGTCTGTATTTATTCTTCACAGATATAGGTTGCATTTGCATGTAACACTGAGCCCAAACTGCATGGTTTCTTTTAACTGTAATATGTATGAGGTGTATTGCCAGTGAATACTCCTGTTTCCTCCTCTGTTGAGCTGGGAAACAAACCATAGAGTTACTTCTGAGCAAGGATTTGTGCTTTGTTTCTCTCAAACAGCAACAAAGGAGCCCATGTTTTGTTTTTGGTTTGTTTGAGAGAAACAAATCATGAATGCTGATTAAGATGTGATGTTAAGCCAGCCACTTCATGGCTTGTTTCCCCACCAACTAAGGAAGGAGTAAAATGGGATCTCTTGACAAATTACACAGTGTGGCTTAGTGTTGTGTATCTGTGGCCATTGAATAGAAAGTATCCCCACATTGATTTAACACTCATTCATTCAGTAGTTGTGTCCGTGTGTGTGGATTTGTGCAAGTGTCCCTAGCAGGTGATTTTAATGGATGTGTTTCTAGAGATAATTGTAAAGTGCAATGGTTTTTAATTGTAATATTGCTGTGAGTGACCTGCAGAATGAAAGGGCAATGTTAAGAGGGCCTGGATACTGCAGCTGCTATTGTGAGGATTATTTTAGTTGTAATTTCCTGACTTTATGGCTCTTAAATTGAGGTGTATTCAGCATTTCCCAGTTCAGGTTTTTGCAACTTTTAAAATTTGAAGACCTGAGGGTTCAAATAATACTCTTCAAATCAAAAATGCTTCAGATATTCCATGGAACCCGGCACTGGGAGTTTAGCTAGAGTTCAAGACGTGCATTTAGAATTTTGCCCTAAGATACGAAAACAGCCAAATAACCTTTTAATGGTAGGTTTTAAGTGCAGCTTTCTGGATGCTTTTGCCCTTCCCCATCTCTTTTGATGCACTGCTTTCCTTAAGGCCAGAAGCATGCTCTTATGAGGCAGAGGCTCGGGAAGTTCTGACGTAAAATAATTGTTTTGCAAGATACTGTCAAGCTAGAAAGGGATTCAGGGGGTTGTGGCTTTACTTTTTTCCTTACGTTTTCACGCTATGCTAGTATGCCATGATACAGTGAATAGGAAAAGTGGGGGAGGAGACATTGTATTCAGCTGCCATGCTGTTATCGGAGGGATTGTTTCTAGATACAGGTTTAGCATTCATTGGTTGTCTGAAGAAAGCCATTTCATCCGAGGATTGGACAAGAAGCTGCGTCAGTTTGCTGCCCGTCTCCAAGGCACTGGTGATGCTGCCTCCACAAGCTGGCTAACGTCACAGCTCCATCACCCAGCGGGGTGTGGGCTCACTCTCCCCCCCTCCCCCGTACTGTTTAATTCTGTATTTGCTTCCTGCTGCATTTCTTAATCTGTCTTCTGCCAAATGCTAACAGCATGATATTTTGCAATCATTTAGGTGAATACAAGAAAGACGAACTCCTGGAAGCTGCTAGGTAAGTGCTGCTCAGAATACAAATGGTTTTTGAAGGGAGGATGTAGAACGCCGGGATGAAAAATGGGCTTTTATGATCGCTGTCATTCTGTCATTACCCTATTATGAAATTATGCAGATAAACAAGGCTTGTTAGCATGGGTTGCTTTGGATTTTAGCCACTTGCAAAAAGCAAAAGAATGTGTTTATTTGTAATCATGCAGTATGATGGGGGTGCTTGCCTTTTGGCATAATGTACTCCCAATTTCATTTATGTTTAGAGTGATCATTTTAGAAAGAAACAGTATATTAGGATATTTTCTCTTTATTTTATACCCGAAAGGCATATTTCGCATTTTCTTATTAAAGCCCATCATAAGAAACCTTGAGCAAGAGCTCTGAAGCTATTTATAGTGTCTTGGGGAATGTAACAAAAATAGGTGTTTGGGAAACGTCTTTTCGGCAGATACATAAAACCAAGTAAAATATAAATTAAACATTAAATTGATGTTAATCTTTTACATGGTGTATTCTTAAAGGAAATGTTTCAAGTGTCTGTTTTTTGCAATTTGAAATGCATATTGGGTGGTTCTTTGAACATGCCAGTATATAGAACAGTATATAATGTGAAACTCCATTTCAAATATTTTATAAGGGGCTCTCCCTCTTTCTTACTTCTCTATCATGCAGGAGTGGTAATGAAGAAAAACTAATGGCTTTGTTGACACCTTTAAATGTGAACTGCCATGCAAGTGATGGGCGAAAAGTAAGTCTGTGCATATTTAACACATTTTGTCATTTTTTTCCCTGACAGCTAACCTGCATGCCTTGTCAATTTGAAAATATTTTTAACCCGTCACTTATGTGGAAGTGTTGTAATTCGTGTCTGTTAACTATGAAATTAAATGATGCTATGCCTAATATTGATGGTTTGTGACAGATTGACAGAGGCAGTGGAGCGTACGCTTGAAATCATGCTATTTGTTTCAAATGTCAACTATTGGGCTATGCTTCAGATAGTTCGGCTATAAAAATAAACTGCATGTTTGGGCTGTTAATAGCTGTAAAATAACAGTCTGTCTAGTATTTTCTTTTTCATGGTGTTGTACTGTTAAGAAAGGTAGGAGTCCAATCCCCTATTACTATGCTTAGCATAGCTAATTCCATATCGGTATGATTTGTGCCTATTGAATTCTCTTAACTTTTGATATTTTTATGCTTTTGATGTCTGGCTGCAGCTTTATATAACGGGGATGTTGAATGAAATGGATTGGGCTAGAAGGGGAAGGGAAGAACCTACAATGACAGGCTACCAGCCAGACTTCATGACATGTTCTCTTAAATTACATAATGTGCATTTGACCATTTAATTTTGCTGCTTAGCTTTGAAATTTTGTAATTGGTATACTAGAATTTGCTCTTGGGACTGACCCAGGTCCACACAGATTAGGAATCTTATCCTTCGGTGGCTATTTTTAGGGTTTGCCAAAATCTTCACAGCATAGTCTCAAACAGGGATGACCAGCTGCTTTGGCCTGCAAGGCTGGATCATTCCTGCCCAAGCTGAGCTGGAGAGGGAAGACTCATAAAAACTGGGGCAGGTTGTGGCCCTTGGTCTCCCAGTTGTCTGTTTTGGAGCTAAATCTTTTAAAAATAAGTTTATTCATTTGCAATGCAAAAAGGGCCAGTTTAAATATTTTTTGACACAAACACTACAGAGCAAGGCTCATGTAAGTGCCATTTATTTCAATGTTTATAACTGCTTATATTTTATGGGACCATGCCCTTTCTTTTTAATAATGTTGTCTGTATAATCTATAACTGAGCTAAAATTATACCCACCAGATTCTTGATTAGTTGTACTGATTTAAAACTTGGCGGCATGCATTGCGTGTGTGTGTGTGTATGATTATATATATTGTTTTGTTTTTACTTATATGTTAGAATGACCATCAGTTGGTTTTACTGTCACAATGAACTGTATACACTATTTCCCCACCCCCATTTGTCCGTAACTAAGTAGTTCTGAATCTCCTTAGAACTGTCTGTGCAAGCAACTAATATTTAGGAATTATTCAGATGTTCTGTAGTACTGTATTCTTAGTCTGATAGCATGGGGAAGTCTTTTAAGTGATGATATGCAACTGTGTGTGTTTATTTAAAGAGTTTTCTTTTATAATCAGTATTCTTAATATAGAAGTCCTGAGCAGAACTTTTTTGTGTAGCTAAATCCCCACAGATAGTTAAATGAGGCCCAAAACAATATGCCATCAAGTATAGTATTAATGGTTCAGGAATATAATGTATCTGAGTGTTCTGAAAGACAAAGGAAAGAAGTTCAGTGTATTTAAAACAATTGAGATGCAGTAGCAGATAAATTGATCAAAACCAACAGATTTCTATTAAAAACAAAAATAAAATTATTATTAATAACAACAAAACATTTATATAATGAGTATATTTGGTAGCTACTGTTGAGAGCTCCTCTGTTGAGAACTGTTCCTACCATGTAATGGATCTTGGGGTATCCTTACAGGTCAGCAAATGCTTAGTTCTTTTTAATCTATTACTGTAACTGTGAAGGCACCATTCAGTTCTCTCCCCTATCAAAATGACTCATGTCTTCTCTGTTGAAAGCATACTCTCCAAGATTCAAAACTCTGCAGGACTCTGACCTGTTCACAGATATCCACCTGTGCAGCGATTGCCCTTGCTTCTTGCCAGGGAATAAGTCACATATTGCATAGGGAACAGTGCATACGTAATGCTTTTGAACCTTGAACCTTGATTGGGGTTGGGGAATGCTGCTGGCTTCTTCATTGACCAAAGGAATGCGATTTTGAGACTCTTGCCTTTCAATATGTTTCATTCTGTGATACTTCTGAAGCCTTTTGCTCCTTTCCTTCATCTGGCATCCCCAAGTAGTGTACCAAATTGGATAAGTGTCTCGTTGCTCTGGCTTCTCCATTAGTATTAAATCCACCCTAAAAGCCACCAAAATCAACAGCTGGCTTCAGGTAGAATTCAGCATGGCACTATTACAAATGTTCCATCTATGCGAGCATATCAGCTTGCCAGATGACTCCCCATGTGCTGTTCGTGGTGTGTGTGTTCTCTCCCCCCCCCCCATGCCATTGCAGGGCACATCGGGGTGGTGGTGATACAGAAAGGAAAGCTCCATTGTTCAAGTTGAAGTCCTTGTGCAAGACTTCATTGAGGTTTTGGGTCCCCTGGGTTTCAAGACTCCACTATATTAGGCAGGAAATACCTAAGTTGAGTACCAGGTTACATTCTGCCATCTTTCCATTTCTAAGCATCCAATTAGGCCAGAAGTATAGGCGTTAACCAGGGGTGTGACCTTTTAGTTGGCCTAGTAAAGATTGCCCTCATGTGGATTTGGAATTTATCTGGGAAATTCCCTTTATTCATTCTCTCTCTCTCTCTCTCTCTCTCTCTCTCTCTCTCTCACACACACACACACACACACACACACACACACTCCCTTTACCTCTCTCTATTATGTTCAGATAAATGAATAAAATGGTTTGAGCTTCAAATACTTGACATCGTTGATATAGGAAGATAGGCTATGCATGCCTAAATAAGAGACCTAGGAGCAAGCCTTAATTTTGGGTTAGGAAATCCCAACAGTCAGAGTAATGACTGCTGGCTGTGAAAGATTCATGTGCACAGCAGTCATTACTTAAAACACTAGTGTTTGTGCAACACAAACTGGTTCTAGGCACCAACATTAATTGCTTAGCTGAAATGTGAGGATGCACTTTTTTGTTTACAGTTATAAAGGCTGTAATTCTTCAATAAAATCTTCAGCACTGAATAGTGTATAGAATTTTGAAGAAACATGTATACTGTTGAATTCTATCATTGAAGCTCGTATTCTACTGAAGTTGTAGTACCTAATAGCCTCTGCTTATTAATAACAGCTAGAGGTTTGGGTTTTGCGTGGGGAAAAATGACTCCAAGATACTATAAATAATCCTATCAGTCATCCTATATATTTTTAGAATCCATTTGTGCAGTTTTTTGTATTATTTCTAATGAACCCATGACCCTATTATCTGTCAATGAATTGAATTGTAAATGAAGAATTGGCTAGTATCTGTGTTTGAATTCAGAATGCCAAGTGATGATACATATTGGCAGGAAATCAATGGCAAATATGTTCATCAAAGATTAAAAAATTAAACAGCAACACCAGGAAAAATAAATCCAGTTAGATAATTCAGTTAGACAAATTATGTACTGTATATTGTGTTGACACAATACAGAAGAAAATGATACAAACTCAATTTTACATTACCAAACAACTTTTACAATACTGCATTAAAATAAATTGCCTCTGCATTACTCTCCAAAAAGATCTTGCAAAGCTTAGCTCTGCATAAATGCTTCTGTGTGACATAAGGGAAGTTTTCATAGTGGGCAGCAATGGAACCGCAGTTATCCCTTTGGAAGCAGTCATATACAGCAAGGCTAGGAAACAATAAGTTACTGAACTCCTTCTCCCACCAGTCAAAGCCTGCAAGGCCAATGGTCTGGGATAATGTTGTTGTAGTCTGAAGGCATCTGGAGGGCTGCAGGTTCCATATCATTGCAGTGATGTCCAGAGTCCTTTTACCTCAGCAGCCCTTTGTTGTTGCTTAGTCGTTTAGTCGTGTCCGACTCTTCGTGACCCCATGGACCAGAGCACGCCAGGCACTCCTGTCTTCCACTGCCTCCTGCAGTTTGGTCAAACTCATGCTGGTAGCTTCAAGAACACTATCCAACCATCTCGTCCTCTGTCGTCCCCTTCTCCTTGGGCCCTCCATCTTTCCCAGCATCAGTGTCTTCTCCAGGGAGTCTTCTCTTCTCATGAGGTGGCCAAAGTATTGGAGCCTCAGCTTCAGGATCTGTCCTTCCAGTGAGCACTCAGGGCTGATTTCCTTCAGAATGGAGAGGTTTGATCTTCTTGCAGTCCATGGGACTCTCAAGAGTCTCCTCTGGCACCAGCACCATAATTCAAAATCAGCGGCCCTAGCGGTTACTGATACACCATTTAAAATGGTAGTTACTTATTCCAGCTTTACTGCTGGTGCCCAAACCATCATAAAACACATTATAACAACATCTGCTAATTCATTTACTTCAAAGCAGTGAGATTCTGAGGGTTGTCTTCAGTGTTTGTTTACACTGGATGAGAGTTTAGACCAGAAAAGGTTTCAGTGCGCGATCTGTTTGTGTAGACTGGCCCTTAGTGAGCTGGAGTTCTCCAGACTGCTAATTCTTTTAAAAGTTCTGCCCTTCACCCCATTAAACCTTTATAGTGCAAGTTCGGATCTCTGGACTCGCTTAACTGTTTGCTTTCTGTCACGTTAAAGTGTGTTTCTGGAACTTTCTGCGGTGTTGTTTCATGGTGCTGGAAACTGGAGAATAAAAGCAGCTTGATAGAGAAATTAACTTCCTTTTCACGCTGTGCATACTTAACAACAAAGCCCCTAAACATAAATGGAGGCCCATAGGGAGATGCAAGACCAATGCAGAGCCAAAAAATAACTCATCATGCTTTCTGCAGATACAAATGAGCCAACTGAGTGCATCTTATTTCAGAAGACAGAGCCTTTATAGTATTTCACTACTTTCCTTAACTATCACCTAGGGAGAGGGAGCCATTTCATCTTCTTGCCGTTGCCTTGTATGCAATGTGGGAAAATGACTAGCACGGGAAGTCTTGAAAGCCTTTTCAATTCTGCATGTGAGAGGAAATAGGGCAAGTGTTTCCTTTCTCGCTTTGCTGTTATAAATCCATATAATTACAATGATGTATCATACCCAGGCAATATTTTGTATAAACTTGAAAAGAAAACTAGGCACATCTGTATTTGGAGTGGTTTTGGACACCTCATGTGGGGGGAAAAAGGAAGTTCTTACCTTCTGTTCTTGGTTATTCATATATCCTACCCTACTTGGGTATCAGGACGCGGGTGTCGCTGTGGGTTAAAGCCTCAGCGCCTAGGACTTGCCGATCGAAAGGTCGGCAGTTCGAATCCCCACGGCGGGGTGCGCTCCCGTCGTTCGGTCCCAGCGCCTGCCAACCTAGCAGTTCGAAAACACCTTCGGGTGCAAGTAGATAAATAGGGACCGCTTACCAGCGGGAAGGTAAACGGCGTTCCGTGTGCTGCACTGGCTCGCCAGATGCAGCTTGTCACGCTGGCCACGTGACCCGGAAGTGTCTGCGGACAGCGCTGGCTCCCGGCCTATAGAGTGAGATGAGCGCACAACCCTAGAGTCTGGCAAGACTGGCCCGTACGGGCAGGGGTACCTTTACCTTTTACCTTTACTTGGGTATCATATATTGTTCTTCGTCCAAACCCTGTACCCCTTTTATCCTTCAGCAGCCCTGTAATGGTACATGTAGTTTGAGAGACATCAACTGGCCCAAGGTCTCCCAGTGAGCTTCAGGACTGATACAGCGACTGCACCATCCTAGTTAGTTCAAGTTCAAATTCAGATATTAGAAGTCACTTGGTTTTCCTATTCACCATTTTATATACTGTACAAAGCCATTCTTTGTTTACGGGCTGTAAGTCTAATTCTTGAGGGAAACAAACTCAAGTCCCCATTTTGGATTAGTTTCCCATTGTGTTTACATTTAACTACCACAAACAGGATTCTGGAAGACACTGTTTGCTTTTGTTTGGCTCTTAAATGATGATGCAATTGGAAAAGTTAATGGATTTTCACAAGATGATTTTCTAGTTTCCAAGCATTGTGTGTTTCTTACCCTTAAATACAAAGTAATTTGAGAAAGTTCACTCTTTCTGGTTACCTACTGAAATGCAAACTGGAAGATTTTCGTCAAACCCAGCAATCACATTCTGTATAACCACCCCAAATAACTTGCACTAAGACTGCTTCCATTAGTCCCCAGATGACATCAATGCACTATTCTACAGTCAGGAAGGAATCTTCATTTCTTTGCACAAAGATCTTAAAGAGGATCATTCGCAGTGCTGGAATACCTGTGGAAGTGATAGGCTCATTGTGGTATGAGCAGAGGTGACATAATGTTCAACTAATACAAGGAAGATGCATCTCAGCCTTTCAGCTTACTGAGTGATCTTAGCCAGTCACCATCACACTGACTTATATATATAGGGGCACTGTTTACCACCCTTCTTCAGTTCCATGAAAGAAAGATGGCATATAAATGTAAGACATACTAATACAAAAACAAAAAACAGCCTTTCAGTTTGAGCAAGGGAAAAGGTTTCTTTTCTCATTCTTGTGATGTTTAAGCCCTTCATTGTTTGTCTCATCTGTAAAGTAAAAAAACCTGCTAATGTACACATTCTTACAAAAGAGTGCCAATTTCTTACACTTTTCTTCAAAAGAGGAACCGTGATGCCAGTAGAACTCTAATCATTAAAGTTTCTTAAGTAACCAAAAAAATAGTTAAATGTCTTCAAAGTCACCCTTTTTTCTTTTGGGGGGATATGTTAACAGGATTGTAAAGTGGGATGGTCCATTTTCCTTTTGAAAATGCAGGGTGGGAAAGCTGTTTTGCAAGGCTTATTATGATGATTTTTCACTACTAGGTACTAATTACTTTAGACATAAGAATTTGAAAAATCAAGTAATGCAGTTCATCACTTTGGAATGTTTTAGGTGTTCAATATTTGGAAGGAAGAGTTATAGGATTCCATAGATGGGAAAAAAAGCAGTTTGTTTTCAGCTTCAACAATTCAGACTATAGTAATGTTTGCTTACCGTTTACCTATGGCCAGTCACCTCATGTTTACCCTCAAATGAAATAATGCTTAAGGTATTATATTTATCATTTTAAAAGGGCTGTGTTTAGGACGAAAACACTGTCCTTTTGCATTACATTGGTACTAGTTTATTTGTACTGCAGGGGTCACCAACCTTTTTGAGCCCCTGGGTAGGCACACTGAGGTTGATGAGCAATGTGTGTTCCTGAACATAGGTGTGATATATTTGGTTACTTCTCTTATGGAGCTCCTGCCAGAATGTTTTTTTGCATCTGATTCTGATCCAGATTAGATGTGCTAGGATACCCAGTTTGCATCTATTAGAAACTGACTGGTGGTGTCGTGGTATAAACTCTTTACAATCAAAATACTTTCTCCCTTCTGCAGTTCTCTTTCCATAGGCAGAAATCTGTTTTCAACACCAAAGCTAAAAAGGCTACGATCGCCATATTTCCCTCCACAGAAGATGTCCACTCCAGGTTTTCTGGTGACCTGCTATTCCCTAAGAGCACCTCAGTTTTCCTGCATGAAACCAGCAGGGAATCTACATCCTTGGTGTTTATCTTTAAACAATTTGCTTAAAACTGTTTCCCCCTTTCTGGAGTGAGAAGTGAGGTGTGAGGGAGAGTCCAGCTCTGAATGTACGTGTGCTGTAGAAACTGCCAAAGAGACTGGAGAAAAATTATGCTGAGATGAAGTCACAGGGAAGAGTGGCAGATGAAGGCAAATAGAGAAATATAGAAGCAGGAGTTGGCGTGGAAATGTAACACAGCTGCTGGCAGGGAGAATGCTGACAATTTAAAGAAAAATAAATACCGTATGTTTTGCTCTATAAGACTCACTTTTCCCCTCCTAAAAAGTAAGGGGAAATGTGTGTGCGTCCTATGGAGCGAATGCAGGCTGCTCAGCTATCCCAGAAGCCAGAACAGCAAGAGGGATTGCTGCTTTCACTGCGCAGCGATCCCTCTTGCTGTTCTGGCTTCTGGGATTCAGAATATTTTTTTTCTTGTTTTCCTCCTCCAAAAACTAGGTGCGTCTTGTGGTCTGGTGCATCTTACAGAGCAAAAAATACAGTAAATGCCAAAGGCTAGCACTGGTCACACTACAGAGCTTGCCCCAAGCATGCATGTGTTAGGGGGGCACAGAAGGAGCCTACACATGGCAGCTGCTCATTCTTAATTTCTTCAGTGCAGACATGCTAATCACATGATGCACCTTCAGTGTGTGAAGAAGACTCCTGGGACTTCACCTGGCCAGAAACTACAGTGGTGCCTCGCAAGACGAAATTAATCCGTTCCGCGAGTCTCTTCGTCTTGCGGTTTTTTCGTCTTGCGAAGCATGGCTATTAGCGGCTATTAGCGGCTTAGCGGCTATTAATGGCTTAGCGGCTTTAAGAAAAAGGAAACAAACTCGCAAGAACTCGCAAGACGTTTCGTCTTGCAAAGCAAGCCCATAGGGAAATTCGTCTTGCGGAACGACTCAAAAAACGGAAAACCCTTTTGTCTAGTGAGTTTTTCGTCTTGCGAGGCATTCGTCTTGCAGGGCACCACTGTATACCCTAATTCTGTTCACCAGATATAAACTCTTGCTTGCCATGGCAACTGTAATTGTACTTCCTGGTTGCTGAGAGGACCATGATGGGACAGCAGGGTCACTTAAACAGTCTGGGCTAATTTCCCCAAAGCTGGAATGCAAGAAGCGTTTTTCTTTAATTTTGGGGAAGCTAGACTGATTTAACCTAGAGAATGCTAATTAAGTTGAGACTTGGATTTGGTATTTGCAGTCAGTGAGAGAAGTTGAAAGTAGGGCAACTACTTTTAATCAATTGATCTGTTCAACAGATTAAATACCTTTTACATCAGTTTAAAAAAACTTGATCTCTTGGGTAGTGGTAGCTAGATATGTCATTGGAAATATTCAGTCTGTTGATAAAATGCATATAATGTTATATATAATGATGTTATAACAGGATCTGTGATGTAGCCTTTTAAACTAAACTTATAAACTTATCGAACATTTGTAAATGTTTTTTTCTGTCTAAGATGAAAGTAGCCAGTTTCTCTTTTGTTGTGAAAGAAAGCAAATGAACACACTCAAAATGGAGACCGTATTTTAATGGTTAAATAGCGGGTAGAGGATGCACTTTTGATAGATTAATAGGGAGCTACAGAGAAGGCAGTAGCCAGAAGAATTTTTTTAATCGGCTGGGAAGAGAAAACAGACGAGAGGGGTATATTATTGATGATACGTTTATCTCTATGCCCACCTCAAGTAGCTTATGCATGCAAGCTGTTCTGGTGTTTTGAGGCTGCTGCTCATGTGAGGTGGTTCCCATAGGAAATCTGTGCAGAACATAGAAGGTGCTTTGTAATTGCTCCCCAGCCAGAGTTGCCATTTCTGCCTGCAGTATCTGTCTGTGTGGAAACTTGCCTTACCCAAAGAAAGAGTCTTAATTTCATTCGTTTTGTTTCTGCCTTTTCTTACAGTCTACTCCGTTACATTTGGCTGCAGGATACAACAGAGTCCGGATAGTCCAGCTTTTGCTTCAGCATGGTGCTGATGTCCATGCGAAGGATAAGGGGTATGTAAGACAGTATAATGAGTATAATGAACTCACTGGCTTTTTTAGCGCTCGTAAGGCAGGTGGATACTAGTGAAAGGGCCTCTTAAATAGTGGTACCTAACAATAGTGCCTCTTAAATAGTGGTACCTAACAAAGGCTTATGGGACGTGGGTGGCGCTGTGGGTAAATCCTCAGCGCCTAGGACTTGCCGATCAGAAGGTCGGCGGTTCGAATCCCCACGACAGGGTGAGCTCCCGTCGTTCGGTCCCAGCTCCTGCCCACCTAGCAGTTCGAAAGCACCCTTAGGTGCAAGTAGACAAATAGGTACCGCTTTATAGCGGGAAGGTAAACGGCGTTCCGTGCGCTGCGCTGGTGCTGGCTCGCCAGAGCAGCTTCATCACGCTGGCCACGTGACCCGGAAGTGTCTTCGGACAGCGCTGGCTCCCGGCCTCTTAAGTGAGATGAGCGCACAACCCTAGAGTCTGTCAAGACTGGCCTGTACGGGCAGGGGTACCTTTACCTTTACCTTTAACAAAGGCTTGGAGGGACGCGGGTGGCGCTGTGGGTTAAACCACTGAGCCTAGGACTTGCCGATCAGAAGGTTGGCAGTTCGAATCCCCATGATGGGGTGAGCTCCCGTTGCTCGGTCCCTGCTCCTGCCAACCTAGCTGTTTGAAAGCACGTCAAAGTGTAAGTAGATAAATAGGTACCGCTCCGGGGGAAAGGTAAACAGTGTTCTCTGGTTCGCTGCTCTGGTTCACCAGAAGCGGCTTAGTCATGCTGGCCACATGACCCGGAAGCTGTACGCTGGCTCCCTCGGCCAATAAAGCGAGATGAGCGCCGCAACCCCAGAGTCGGCCACGACTGGACCTAATGGCCCTTTACCTTTACCTTTAAAACCTTGATTATTGGGAGATTATTCTCCCAAGCATTTCAAATCTTGTAGATGTTACAATGATGGACATTTGGAGTAAAGTTTTTGAGATTACAGAATTGATTAAGTATCACACGCTGCAGCTCCCCCCCCCCCATAGCTTAGAGCGGTGGTTTTCAAATTGCATTCTGGGGGAGGTATAGTGGTTCCTCGACAGATATGTCTGTGTGGAAAGTGGAGGGAGATAAACAGCAATGCTGTAGAGTAATACAGAAATATCTTAAGACTTTTCATATTTCCTACTGCATTTTTTTCTAGTGTGGTCAGGGTGTTTGCACGCCATATTTTTATTTGTCACACCTTTACAAATTAGTCTGTTAGATTATTGTAACAATTTTCTGTTCTTCTAAAGCTTTCCTTTGTGCTCTGACCTCATTTTTGCATTCAGGAATATATATTTTTTTAAGCTCCTCTTCCCTTGCTTGTGAAGTAGTCGGAACCTTTATACAAAGGCAAGGAAGAGGCACGTTTCAAATGCTGGATTAAGATATAGCAAAGTGCTTTAAAAAGTGGCTTGCACATAGGGCTCAGAAAGGATTTTAAAAGTTGGTCTTGTGGAACAGCTGCTGTGCTGCCTCTCTGGATGAGTTCAAGCAATCTTCTCATCTGTGCATCAGAATTCCCATTTGTGCAGGCCTGAATCATGTGACTGATACCTTGCATGAAACTGGGCAGTGCAGTGTTGCTTTAGTTACATGCTCAGATTTTAATAAAATCCTGCACCTGGCTAGAATCTGTGACCAAGCATCTGTTTGAATAATAATGTTATTGAGGTTAAATTACATTTTACATCTTTAAATGTCTCTCTTGTTGCAGCCAATTTGGTTCTACGTTGCCTAAGTATTAGCTTTTTAGGTAATGTAATTTTAATGCTTTATTTATTGCAGTGGACTTGTGCCCCTCCACAATGCATGTTCCTATGGACATTACGAAGTTACAGAACTGCTGTTGAAGGTAACGTTAAAGAGAAGTAATTCCTTAATGTTACGTAATTAATTGAAGGAAATTATTAACGTGTAGTGTGCTTTCATGTTTACTATTTGTGTGTTGTTCTTTATTGTATGGTTATTTGTATTTTTAAGTTAAATTGTGTAAGCAGCCTTGCAGACCCCGTGAACTAAACATGGCAATAGCGATATAAATGTCCTTAGCTGCTGTGTACAGCATATGTATGGAAATACGGTATGGCTTGTGGGGGTCTTTCTGTGTGGTCAAACAAACGAAAGAACAATGTTGGAGGGACACACATTTCTCATCAATGAGGCCATTTTTCAAATAATAGCATATGATTAACTGAATTTGTGTGTGATTGTGACTGAAATGTTACACCTCTGAAGAATACACTGTAAAAATTAGGTGTTATGCCATCCATAACATGTAAATTTGTTAAATCAATGGGGGCCCTTTTACTGAAGTCCATAATATTTTCTATTATGCCATCTTATTAAAAACTAAGGGAAAATAACAGACCTGGTCCACATTCCACACAAAGGAGAGTATTTTCCCCATATTACAGAAACTGGGTTACGTCCAGCTAAATTATTACGTGATTGGAGTGACTTCTGCTCACACAATGGAACTTCTCCTTCTATGCAGCCCCCTCACTGCCCCATATATATCTGCTCCAGAGGGTTTGGGAAACACCCCAAGCAGATTTGGAGGGTTGGAGGAGGAAGTTCTGTTGTGCAAGTGGAAATCATGCAATAATCTTAAATTAGATACAGCCTATTACTTGCCCCAAGCCAACCACTGTTTGTGGCTGAGTCGAGATTCAACATAGGATGTTTTTTACCTGCTATGCTACACCAAGTCTTACTGAAACTGACATTTATTTATTTTTTAAACTCCGTAATCTCATCATATTCTGAGAGAGACTCTGGGCTTTCACTAGCAGCAAACCTGGAGCACGTTCTTTCTATCAAGTGCATATTATTTGAACGTGTATTAAAATATCAATTAATGAATTGATTTCATTAATTTGATAATCAAAGGTTTCATTAGATAACACCTATTCTGTTTAGCACTGAAAGTTAACTATGGTACTGACACTACATAGAAGGACTTGTACAGTTTAACTCTTATTCTTTCCTTACTTAGCATGGTGCCTGTGTTAATGCGATGGATCTTTGGCAGTTTACCCCATTACATGAAGCCGCTTCTAAGAATCGTGTGGAAGTTTGTTCTTTGTTACTCAGCCATGGTGCAGATCCAACGTTGGTCAACTGTCATGGAAAGAGTGCTGTTGACATGGCCCCAACGCCTGAGCTGAAAGAGAGGCTTACCTGTAGGTATCACGGGGGTGCAAAATACTGTATTTCGCATCTAGAAAGGGCTCTTTGTGCTCTACGGAGTGTGATATTGATCACAGAATTCAGCTCCCTGTAAACCTCAACTTTTTATTATTATTAAAGCAAAGATGGTTGCAAAGATCATTTTGATGTGGGCATTTCTGGTGAAATCTCAGAGGGATTGCTGTGTAACATTTTGAGCAGTCATAGGGTAGGGTTTCAATGCCTGGGGTTCCTTCGCATCCCTCATCATGACCAGCAGAAGCAGAATACATTGTTCGAAATAGTGAAAATTACGTAATAAATTATGCAAACTGAGAATAATCATGCTAGTTGCTTGTGTAATATTTACTTAATTACTTAATTACTGCTCTTATAATATCTGCTTCATATGTGTTAATAGATTTCGCTATTGTCACAAAATTTGGGTCACTTTGGTACAACATTTTAATTTATTTCAGGCATTAAAAGTCAGTTCAGAAACTTTTCCCTGCAACCTTTTTCTTGTTAATCTTCTCTTATCAACATATTTGGCAGATCAGAAGTGTGTGTGTGTGAAGTCCTTTAGGCAGCATTTATACAAGTCACTGAGCATCTAAACTAATTTTGCATTTAGGCTGAGTAGCATTGAAATAGAAACCCCCCTTTTACCTCTCAGCCCAAGAATGTTATTTTGTCTTCACAATCTCCACTTGAGAGAATGCAATAGGACAGTTCTTGGTGAACTGTGTGGAATTATATTGTCCCTCTTAACTGTTGTTTGGCTTTTCTAAGCTAATGCTGTATAATTCTGACAGTCATGAATATTGTTTATTCCCCTGCAGATGAATTCAAAGGACATTCCTTACTACAAGCAGCAAGAGAAGCTGACTTAGCCAAAGTAAAGAAGACACTTGCCTTGGAGGTCATTAATTTCAAGCAGCCACAGTCCCATGAGACAGCACTGGTGAGATCATAAGAGTCACTCTGCTTGCTTTAGGCAGCATGTAAGGTTTTGTATACATAATTGTGGCTGAAGTTATCCCATAGTTAAGACTGGCGTTTTCAAGGTAAATCTAGTTCAGCCCATCACATATCTAATGTTGCTTGACCTGCCAGTGACTTAATGCTGAGCTAAGGAAGAACCTGTAGTAAGCATCTTCTTTCATGTTTACACCATTTTAGCAGGGATCTGAGAATTCTGCCATTCAAAATTAAATGTTTTTCAGTTGGCTGCTTTGAAATGAATAGTTTGATCCCTCAGCACATCATGTATTTTTGCAACTGTAATTGCTTCAGCAGCTTTCAAAATCTGCTAGAGTAAAAAAAAAAAAAAAAAGGTTGCGTATCTGTAGGCAGGATGGCACAAGATGTAGCCTGTGCTGTGAGAGGCAAGGGAGGCAAACAAACCAACTAATTTAGCTCCTCCCTTTATCCTCACTGCCTGCCTCCACTAAACAGTCCTTAACGCCTGGAATTTATTTAGTGGCCCAGCGAACTTTCTATATCAAGTAGTGTGGTAAGGCAATTAGTGTGGTGTGAACTACAAAGCCTCTTACACGTTTAACCTAAATTTATATTTTGCAAAAGATTTTGTAAGGCAGCAATGTAAAAAATCATTCAACAGTAATGATTTGAAACAGTTTGAGCAAAGAAGATAAAATGAAAATAAATAGGAAAACACGTTCATCTAAACCTAGTCTAGATTGTTTCCCTACCCAAGTTGATACTTTTATCAGGCAGTGTCCATCTCTCTCATTGTTCAGCATCTTCTGTTCCTGGAATCTGGATGTGTAGCTGTCCTTTAGCTTCCTTCTTTTGAGTCCAGCTCTTTCCTATTTCACCAGCACTGTGTCTTTCTAAACACCATTTGCTAGCTTTACTTACACGCATTATTTCAGGTGACCAGTCAGAAGGGCAGTAGAATTCTGCTTGAGATTCTCTTTTCCATAATTTCATTTTATCATCTTAATTTCATCTTAAGCCGCTCTGAGCCCGGCCTTGGCTGGGGAGGGCGGGGTATAAATAATAATAATAATAATAATAATAATAATAATAATAATAATTATTATTATTATTATTATTATTATTATTATTTATTATTATTAATGTTTAGGTTTCATTTGCACCTCACGTGTTTGCTTCATGCAGTGAACTTCTGACCTGCCTGGTTACAGAACAGAGAGCGAAAAGCAGCCATTTTATAACCCAAAAACAATAGACAAAATGGTTGAAACTGTTTCATACTTCCACAGTTGGAAAGACACGACTGTAGAGCGCCAGTTCAAATATATCATAGTATGTCCTCTAACAGCGACCATGCTGAGGTTAAGGTGAGGGATCATACTGTCCCTCTCACCAGCCCCTCCTCATTGGTGCTCAAATTCCCTTGCCACTGTTTGCTATGATTAAGGGCTACGTTTGCATCACCAAAGAAGTGTGTGATCTTGTAACCTACGGGTAATGAACCTGTAGCCCTCCCGATAAAGTTAGACTTCCACCAGCCACAGCCAGCATGGCCAGCGGTCAGGAATGATGGAGTTGCGGTTCAGTACCACCTGCAGGGCCACACGTTCTCCTTCTCCCAGGACCAGCCCGTCCACGCCTCAGGTGGTAGAACTCAAGGTGCACCCTCCCTCAATATCAGAGAAGTACCTGCGAAGGCTTCCACGTTCTGAAAAGTTCTTGCAAGAGCCCCACGAAGTCCCCCTGGGCTCTTGCAAGATCTTGCTGGAAGCCACAGCCACACAACCCCAATAAGTGAGGCTTTGGCGGGGGGATGCATGGCACCTTCCTGTTTTGGCTCAGGTGGCGAAGCGCCAATCTCTGGGATACGTAAAACCTATCCCAGAACATCTTGTGCTTTCTATTATAGTTTTATACTAAGTACATATGGAATAGAAGCAACAGTTCATGTTTACTCCAGGGAAATGGAAAACGATTGATGCCCCCAAATTATTGCATTACACCTCAACCCCCCCCAAAAGCTGTTAGAGGTTCTAAGTGCACTTTTTGCATTTGTACTAAGATTTGCACATGAGAACAAGTTCAAAATATGATAGTACAGTATGTGCACTATATTTTATATATTACATGGTGTCCACAGAAAGGACAGATGCATATGGAACTATGGACATTGCTGGAGCTCTGCTTGTCAATTTGTCGTGGCGGTTCCTACAGACAAGGCAAGCCGTGACTCCATTTAAGTAGCAGATTGCATCTTCGGCACAGGGAATTACTCTGGCACATGAAGGGCTACTTGAACTTCAATCACTTGCATACAGTTCCATTTTGAATCCCTGACCCAGTCCTGCATCCTAAGAAGCAAATTCCTTGTTGTACACTATTACGATTTATGCAGGTTAACTGCAGCCTTCTCATCTTGTATTTCCAGCGTGTCCTTCAGTTTTGATTTCCAACCCTTGGCTTAAGTTTTACTACATTGCCTTTTTTTGCAGCACTGTGCTGTGGCTTCTCTTCACCCCAAACGGAAACAAGTCACTGAGTTACTGCTTCGGAAAGGAGCGAACGTCAATGAGAAGAATAAAGAGTATGTTTTCTTCTTTAAAACAGCAACATTTGTGTTTAGATGAAATGGACGCATTCTGAAACGTATTTATTTGTATCTTTCTTTTCCAAACTAGTTTCATGACACCTTTGCATTTTGCTGCTGAACGAGCTCACAACGATGTTATGGAAGTTCTTCATAAACATGGAGCAAAGGTAAATATTGGATTATGCCTAATTTTCTACACACTGTATTATCTGTATTATACCTGTGGTCTTGTGTGCTAGTTCTACAGGTGTGAAAAATTAGGGAAACATTTACTCTGATATTTATTTGTGGTTCTGTGGAAACAGTGGGGGTTCAGCTCTTTGCCTCTTTTCACACAAACAAATGTAGTCGTTACATTTTCATTGATACCAACTTTGATAGTTGGAAGTAATTATTTGCACACGTTTCCTTTCCAGACATCTGAACAGAAGTCTGGGTCTGCTTGCATGAGGTTTTGGAAGAAGCTTGTTTGTCATAAGTTCTTTGACTTTGTAATCTCTGCTTGATACGATCCTGGTAAAAGTCTGCCTTAGCTTTGAAGAATTTACCGGGATAAAATGTTCTCCTTGTATAATTTCCTGCCAAGCTTTTAAAGATTCAATTTGGATGAGAGCTTTGATATTAGACAGGAAATCATAGGGTGCTTTCACATCTGAAGTCTGCAGCTCAGACCATGATAATACTGAGTATAATGGAATAAGAAGAACTGCAATATGCCTTTTTTCCAGCACACCTGTTAACTATCTCTGCACTGAACCATCACAGCTACATTTCACCCATTCAATTGTTTGGCACTAATGTCCTAGCTGCAGCTGGGCCACAAAACTCGTAATCTACCCACTTTTATCCTGTCTAAATTTACATCTTTTTGTTCCAACCAACCAGTGTATAATCAAATAAAAATGCTAATTCAAATTGCTCCTGATATCCAAAGTGCTTGGGCGCATGTAATGTTTACATATTTTCCAAAGATAAAATAATGTTTTTCAAAGCCTATTGGGTAAATTATTGTCACTGAGGCTTTTTCATTAGCTGTCCTTTTCAAGTTTCTTTTTCTGTTTCCTTAAAACACAGAGGTGCAATTTCATAAATTAATGTAGAAATGTTGTTACATATACTTTTCTTACTTGAGTATAGACTTGTTAGATTCTTGTTAGTTTAACTTGTTTTATGCCTTCTTTAAAGTGCAAGTTTCAAGACGGCTTATAAAGTGAGGATTTCATATAGGTTGCCAGGGGTCCCCAACCTGTGGCCCATGAGATTCATTCAATTGGCACGCTGCATGTCCACCTTCATATTGATTTTTAATTGTATTCTATTGCTTCTTTTATTTCTTGTATTGTACCACATTTTGAATTTCTGTGGCATTCAGAATGTAATGCAATATAGGAAATAAAAGAAGCCATAAAAATACAAATAAAGATCATACAGCATCTAGCATTGTGCATTAAAAGGTAAAGGGACCCCTGACCAAGGTCCGGTCGTGGCCGACTCTGGGGTTGCGGCGCTCATCTCGCTCTATAGGCTGAGGGAGCCGGCGTTTGTCCGCAGACAGCTTCCGGGTCATGTGGCCAGCATGACTAAGCCGCTTCTGGGGAACCAGAGCAGCACGCGGAAACGCTGTTTACCTTCCCGCCGGAGCGGTACCTACTTATCTACTTGCACTTTGATGTGCTTTCGAACTGCTAGGTGGGCATCGTGCATTACAATTTCTATAACAGGTGAAAAAAACCTTTAAGTTGCCCACCAAGACAATCAGTAATTTTCAAGTGGTCCATGGGCAGGAAAATCCTGGGAATCACTGAACTCCTGAATGGTGAATTATACTTCTGATTCTGTGTGTTTGGGGTTCTTCAGAGTCTTTTCTGGAAATATGGTGACACGAGCCATACTTTTGGCTGAGCTATGGTCAGTTTATTATTTGAGAGTATTAAATAGAGAAGTTCAGATAAAGAGATCTTGGTTGCAGTTCACAAGTAGTTGCCTTGCTGACACAGGCGAATGAAGTCGCTAAGGCCCAAGGGTACCAAGGCTTCAGGAAGCTGGAAAGTCCATAGCTTTGCAATAAGTACCAGCCTTGCAATAGTACCAATGGTGGCTCCTGTTCTTAAATGGGTGAGTCCAGATTTGCAGTTCTTAAGTGCAACCTTTGAGGCTTCTTGGCTGCTGTTGTATGGCCTGAATTGAGGGGACCTTGAGTGTGGAGGAGGGCAAGAGAGAGAGTTTGTGGTTTGCATTCAACCCCCCAAACAGTTAAGTATATCTTCTTTATTATATCTTATTAGAGAGATATAACATATATCAACAATTCTTCAATTATGTCAGACAGATGCGTTTTAATTTAGGAATCTATTATATAGAAGTGCTATTCTCCAGACCTCTGTTTTTGTATTTGTTCCAAGCAGGTTTAATAGGATCATAAAATACAGTGATATACAGAATCGTGAATGTGTAGTGTGTTATGTTCCAGAATTTTGAACCAGCTGTTACCTTTTTTCTGTGGGGAAACATTTTAGAGAAGAGCCTTTGCGCTCACTGAAATGGCAAAATTGTTTACTCAGGCTGCTAATTAAATGACTTCCCCAAATTGCCATCTAATAAAATTTCAGAAGTGGGGATCCTGTTTGTTGATTAAAATACTGTATCTGGCCAGTGGGTTACAGGAAAATGAGATTATTTGAGTAACAACAACCCAGTAAAGAAGCCTTCACCCACAGCTCCTAACCGTACACTGGAGAGAATAGATGAGAAATGTACGTCCAAATGTTCTACCTTTCCATCCTCTACCTCTAGGAAGTAAGGATTTAGGAAACACTGAGAATTCGAAACGGGAAGGAAATCAGTAATAAGAGGCCCTGTCAAAATAGTCTTCAGTTGCTGAGCTATTACAGATGATTGGCAGAACATAGGACAGTTATAGGTGCGAGTGCTGCATTGCCACACAGGAGCAGTAAAAAGTGCTGAAGTAAAAAATAATTGCTCGTTGAACAATGACATACTTCCATGTTGACTTTCAGTAACATTTCACATAGGGAAGGGACTTGGATGTAGTGAAAATAATTCATTCCAATGGCAAACTCTTGCTTGATAGACCTGGGCAACATGACTTTGAAAGTGATGTTAGCATTGCTTATTTTAGCAGGTTTAAAACATGTGACTATCAGGTCTGCGCTGATGTCTGTCTGGTGGAGCTGATAGACCTGTCACTTTGTAAGCTGAAAGAGCTCTTCACAGTCTGCAGGGCAATTCATCACTGCATCAACATAACGTGCACAACAACAATGTGACTGCCACAGTTTTTTTGGGAGGGGTTGGTGTAGCTTTAGCGAGCAGGGTAACTTTTAAGTGTATATATCGTTGGGAAACCAGCAGTGGGTTGATGAATGAAGCTTTCATTCCATACCAGGCAAATAGTCGTTTTGGTATGTTAGCTCTCAGCCAGTTGGAATTTTGGTGAACTATAGATTTTGAAATTTGCAGGGTGCTGAATTGATATGTTTGAAGGGTTTTTTTGTTTTGCCTGATATAAATTTAATATGGAGGAACCAGATACTTCAGGCAAGAAATTTGGGTCAGCGTGGTGAGGGCCTTCTGGCCAGGGTCTCTAAGAAGCCACCTCTACTTACACTTGGGGAACTAGGAGCTATCAATTTAGCTCTCATTTTCCATAAATGAGGAATGCAGTGTGCGCTGGTTAGGACAGACAGTATGGCAGCTAAAATGCATATGTCACAGACAGAGAGGTAGTTGATCAAAATCAGCCCTGAAGGAAGGAAACTATTCTCTTATGTAAACACCCATCTGCCCACAAGGGCAAAAACACTGGAAAAGGTTCATTTTTAACCTTCATCCAGATTGGCTTGGTTAACCCCAGTGGAGTAAGCCTTTAACCCAAATATATTTGATCAGATCTGATTCAGTTCTGAGGACTGATCATGTGTCTTTTAACCTCTTCTTCCAACAAGAAGTTGTTGAGGTTCAGCATAAGTTTTCAGGTAGGAGGAGAACCAGTTGATGCCCTAAAGGGAGATTAGCCATGCTGTTATCTTTGTACTTCCCTGCCATAACCTCTTCTTCCAAGAGTAATCTGGAAAATCAGGTATAAGTGTTAATTGGCCCAAGATTGCTAGCTATAACACCTCCAATACCATGAGAGAGCTTGACAACTCCAAGGCAGCTTTGCAGGATGTGTCCTTTTTCACATAGCTGGGATGATGTCAAATGGTTCATGGCTGTTAGATTTCTGACCCCGGATGCGCTGCAGTTTCACATTCTTGTGCTTGTTGCCCTCCCCTTGAGAAATTCTGGATTTACCTGTGAAGTTCTGCTCTTCTCAAGGGAAGCAGGGTAGCCAAACCCACCCTTAGTGAATCTGCTCCTACCTACAGAGCTCCATATATTATAGCCTGAAGTGTATGCCTAGAGGGGAGAATCAATTATCTACAGGGATCCCCTTTCTGACCCTGTGCTTAAGTTCCTTTGATATCTGGGCAAATTGTTCATCCTAAGTGGTAGGAGAGCTGGGAGTTGGGTTATGTGTGTTGTTTGAAGAATATTCAGCAACTCGAGTTAGTGTTTTGCTACGTACTACTGTATGTACTAGGGGACGCGGGTGGCGCTGTGGGTAAAACCTCAGCGCCTAGGACTTGCCGATCGCATTGTCGGCAGTTCGAATCCCCGCGGCGGGGTGAGCTCCTGTCGTTCGGTCCCAGCGCCTGCCAACCTAACAGTTTGAAAGCACCTCTGGGTGCAAGTAGATAAATAGGGACCGCTTACCAGCGGGAAGGTAAACGGTGTTCCGTGTGCTGCGCTGGCTCGCCAGATGCAGCTTGTCACGCTGGCCACGTGACCCAGAAGTGTCTGCGGACAGCGCTGGCCCCCGGCCTCTTGAGTGAGATGAGCGCACAACCCCAGAGTCTGGCAAGACTGGCCCGTACGGGCAGGGGTACCTTTACCTTTTACTGTATGTACCATGCTTTGATCTGCTCTTCAGTTTCCCCCCCTTTTCTCAGCCAGGCAGGTTCTTGTACTCTCAGATTGATTATTTTGACTACAGGGGAGAGTCCTTCCTCTAGGCACAAAAATGGAGACTGGTCTATCAGAGCAAAACCCTATTTAAATGCTAGCTGCCCCCTTTCTCTCCCAAAACACATTTTCACATATAAATCCAGCATTTATGTTTCCATTTGTTACAGTAACTGGATATTATTTAATTTGTCAGCAGAATTGGAAAGCATGTATTTATTTTACAGTTAAATAAATGTGTTTATTGTACATTAAAATTTATGGGAGCCCCATTAATTTTTTTACCTTGGTAACAATTTCCGTTAATCACCTACTTCATATGAAATAAATGTGCCTTCTAAGTAATGTGGAAGGACTTAATTGATCCTTTATTGTCCTGCTGTGTTACTGTTTAAACACAGCAGGAGGGGTAATGAAATTAGTGTCTTGTAGTCTTGGTTAACTTTTTCCCTTCCATCCACAGATTGTGAGGTAAGGTGGATTGTAAAGCATTTATAAGCTCTGTTTGGGTTAAGCACATATATATATATATATTTCCCCCCTCAGATGAATGCACTAGACACACTTGGACAAACTGCTTTGCATAGGGCTGCTATGGCAGGTCACCTGCAGACGTGTCGCCTCCTGCTGAATTATGGTTCGGACCCCTCCATCATCTCCTTACAAGGTTTTACAGCAGCGCAGATGGGCAACGAAGCAGTGCAGCAGATATTGAATGGTGGGTGTTCTTTCAGACGATAATGATAACCAATGATGTGCATTTGTAATTTGCAGGAAAGGCTGATTGGTTCTTATTTTAATTAAAATAAAATTGCTTTGCAAATGAGGCTCAAGGCAGCGACTGAAAAGGATAAACAAAATGACACACTGAAACAATGTGACTCTATTTACAATGGCTGTTAAAAAGTCACTGTAAACAGGATGACAAGCTCTACATGAGCTAATTTCAGACCTGGGGACTCTTTCCAATGTTTAATTATGTCAATTCTCTTGATACTTTAGTCACCCACTCCCTCTCCCCCTCCTCCTCCTGCCTCCCGCCTCCCAGACTCTTTTTTATGATTTCCTTTACTGAGCTTGTTTTGAATCTTTCACATGCATAGTGTCTCTACTTGCCCTTGGGCTAGGCAAATGGGATACTTCCCAGTTAGTTAACTCATTAGGTGAATTTTTGAGAGCTGCTTTTGATGTTCCAAAGCCAAGGTGATTCTAAGACCACAGATCATATGGAACTGGGATTATTTAACAGCTGGAAATATGAATGGCCAATCTTGGGGTTTTAGCTTTTATAACAACAAAGAATCGTCATATGTACAGTTCTGGCTGGGGGATCAGAGAGAGGAATGGTAAATGCAGCAACCCTGTCCAGCTGTTCAGATCAGGACATAAATGCTTTAAAATCATAGCTTCTAATAATAAAAGCTGCAGCTCCACTTGAATGCTTTATCATTCTTTTCAGAGAAACATATCCCTTTAAGAAAATAAGTATGTTATAAGAAATATCCAGTTTACTACACCAAAAGCCAATTAGCTTTTTTTATCCATATATTTAGAATTCCAGCCAGCACATTATTTTCTGCAATGTCCACAATCATGCAATCAGACTTAAGATCATGTAGTGGAACTTTCTTTCCTTTTCCCTCCCCTTCATCCCCCTGAAATTTGTGAAAGGGGGATCTATATGTGCCAGTAGTGTCCAGCCTGCCAGAAGACAGACAACATTAGATTTCTTGGGTTTTCTTTTGTTTTTGTTCTTGTTTTTATGTCTTTTGTGTTTTTCTATGTAGTATATTTATTATGTGAACCGTTCTGAGATCTACGGATTAAAGGTGGTATACAAAACAAACATCTCCCTTTGTCACTTCCATGAAATAATTAGTATTAGTTACCTGAACTTCACCAGCAGATGCAATGATGGGTTGCAACAATTTGAAATTCAATATCAAAAACAGTGAACACATTAGACATTACAAAGTGCTTTACTGTTGCTAATTCTTACAGCTCCATAAGATCAGCTAGGCTGGATCAGACCCTGGTTGAGCCCATCTGGTTGAGCATCCTGTTTTCACAGTGGCCAACTAGATGCCTACAAGAAGCCCTCGAGCAAGACTTGAGCACAACTGTGCTCTGCCAGTAGCTGGGAAGCATAAATGAGACATGGAGAGTGCATGAACTCAACAGTGCTTAGCTTATTTTGTTGTTATTGCTATTTTGTTAATGTTTTTAATGTTTTATAGATTATAAATGCCATATTGATTGGTTCTTCATAAAATATGCTGTAATTGTGATGTTCGCCTTCTTTTTTAGTTGCTGTCTTGTTAATAGTGTTTTATATATTATAATTGTTTTATTGATGAACTGTTGATGATTTGTGGATTATTTTATATATCGTATTTTTCGCCCTATAGGATGCACTTTTCCCCCTCCAAAAATGAAGGGGAAATGTGTGTGCGTCCTATGGGGCGAATGCAGGCTTTCGCTGAAGCCTGGAGAGCGAGAGGCGTCGGTGCGCACTGACCCCTCTCGCTCTCCAGGCTTCAGGAAGCTATCAGCAAGCCTCGAGCTTCGGGCAGATGTCCGCAAGCCGCGCGCGCCCGGCGGGACCTCCCGCTGGGCGTGCAAGGCTTGGGGCGGCAGCCTGCAGCCCGAAGCACGGGGCGCGCTTCGCAGTGGGCTCGCAAGGCTTGCAGACAGCAGCCTGTTCTGGGAGCTGGGGTCGGGGGAAGCTCGGGCTTCCCCCGCTCCAGCCCCACGCCTGGGGGGAAAATATTTTTTTTTTCTTTCCCGCCCCCCCCCCAGGTGCATCCTATGGGGCGAAGAATACGGTATTTTATGCTGTATTTGCGGTGTTCTGTTCTGTTATTGTTCTGTATTGTTTGTAAGCCGCTTTGAGATTCATTTGAATGAAAAGCAACATAGAAATTCAATCCATCAGTCAGTCATTGCTCACTTTCCCCCCTAAGCTAGAAATCCTCAAATGTTATAACATTTCCTCATTGGAGAGTTGCTCCAGCCCCATGGTATGTTCCTCATATGGGGACTGCAGCTGACATGTAATTACTTGTCTAAGTTGATCCATTGAACTCATGGGGAAGGTGGGATTTATAGGATTGTAAAGTTGGAATGTACCTCGGGGGTCATTTAGTGCAACCCCCTGCAATGCCCAATGTGGGGTTTGAACCCATTGAGATCAAGAGTCTCGTGCTCTACCAACTGAACTGGAACGTCCTGGTTTGTAGTTCATATTTTTGCTTAAAAGTTGTTTCTATAAATTCAACCTGTTTATAATTTTTTTGTCTCTTGTGTAGAGAGCACTCCTGTACATACATCTGATGTGGATTACAGACTGTTGGAAGCCTCTAAAGCTGGAGACTTGGAAACTGTGAAGGTAGGTTGGCACAAATAACATCCAGTGTGTTCCTGTATGCAGGGGTACCTTGGTTTAAGAACAGTCCTGTTTATGAACAATTCGGTTTGCAAACTCTGCAAAACCGGAAGTAGTGTCCCGGTTTGCGAACTTTACCTCTGTCTAAGAACGGAATCTGAATGGTGGAAGGGCGGCGGGAGCCCTCATTAGGGAAGGTTTAAGAATGGACTTCCAGAACGGATCTAGTTCGTAAACCGAGGTACCACTGTATTACTGTCATTGCTTGTGTGATCTGCCTAAAAAGATAAGAGGAAGTATTTGGCACCATCAAAATCAGCCCTACCTTTTGTGTGTGATAATTCCATTTTGGGTGCATTATAATGCAGCTCGTTGGTGAGCAGGTTCCTTTGACTGCTTTAGAATCAGTGGGATTAAATCGATCACAATTGCAAATAGAGCACAGTAAGACAATTATGACTCACAGACCAGCTTGGATGTCACGATAAACCCATGGCTTATTGTGAGTAGACTTAAAAATCCTGTCTTACTCAAAAATATTTTGAGTTGGTGTTCTTTATTGCAAGAGAGTCACTCCATGGTTTAAAATTTAAATAAGCAATTCAAGAATTTGCATGTGTAAGGCAGGACATGGCAGTAGCCACTGAGGCAAAAAAAGAAAAGGAAAAGAGAAGCAGCAGCAATGAAACCTCTCATTTTTACACTTTGAGAAGGTGGTAACTGCTTGAAAAGGTCTCTTTCACGAGTTCCTTTATGGATGTTTTTCTCTTTCAATTTTCATTTCACAGCAACTTTGCAGTCCTCAGAATGTGAACTGCAGGGATTTGGAGGGGCGTCATTCAACCCCATTGCACTTCGCTGCAGGTTATAACCGAGTGTCAGTCGTGGAGTACTTGCTTCATCACGGAGCGGATGTGCATGCAAAGGATAAAGGGTAACCTGGGATTCAATTTACGGTTTTGTGTCTGAATAGAATAGCTTCTTGCTTTCCAAGTCCTTTTGCTTCTGTGCTTTTCAGTACCTTATTCTTCAGCTGTATGGCCACAGCCCAGGGCTTCTATTTATATCCTCCGGTTTTGCAGCCAACAAAGGCAAACTCTTGATTAAATTTCAACCTGTTTGCCCCTTCCACTACTGCCAGATGCTGGTTTTTTTGGAACAAGATTTCTGCTTCTGGATCTCATGAGGAAAAGGGGTTGCGTTTCATCAATGCTCTGATGATATCTGTCTGTGGACAAATGCCGGCTCCCTCAACCTGAAAAGCGAGATGAGCGACGTACCACATAGCCGCCTTTGACTGGACTTAACCGACCAGGGGCCATTTACCTATGTTACCTTTACCTTTTTACTAAATGTATATAATTTTTAAGGTTTGGAGGTCCATCACTTGTCAGAGACAGTTGATGTCATCATTTGGAATGCTGATTTATCTTGAAGGATAACTACAATTTTGACTTGCTTCTAGATCCTGACATGTTAAAAGCTGACATGTTTCTCTTTTTGATTAGTGGCTTAGTGCCCCTCCACAATGCCTGTTCATATGGACACTACGAAGTGGCAGAGTTATTGGTGAGACACGGGGCATCTGTCAACGTCGCAGATCTGTGGAAGTTCACACCGCTACATGAAGCAGCAGCAAAGGGGAAATATGAAATCTGCAAGCTCCTTTTAAAAGTATGCAACTTACAATTTCTTTAGACTTTTGAAGACGTGAGAAAGAGCTGAGTAACAGCAGGGCTTTATTTTTTTAAGAAATGGGGATCAGCTTCAGCATCTAGCCTGACAATGAGTACTAGAGAACGTGCTTACCAGTTGTGACATTTTGTCTCTTCTAATCAAATTTCAAAATCCAACTGGATTTTGAAATTTTCCGACTATTGAATTTTCTTCTACTAAAGAGCCTTCATCTAATGGAACCTGTGGCACGTGGTACCACATGCAACCTTTCTGAGCTAGACAATAGTTCAGTTGGTAGAACATGAGCCTCTTAATCTGAGGGTTGCCCACATGTTGGGCAAAAGATTCCTGCATTGCAGGAGGTAGGGCTGGGTGATACCAACTTTGCAACATTGTGGTGTGTTGCGAGCCAAACATTGTGGTTTGGCGATATACCGCAACGTTGAAAAAACCAGATGCATTGCCCTCTGCCCGCGAGACACCGGGTGAAACTGCCCCAGCTCTCACCTTGAAAGCTGAGGCGGTTTCATCCAGGCTGGTGGGCTGGGACAATGCAGCTTGTTTGCGCAGCTAAGCTGGGAGGAGGGAACATTCCCCACCCCAGCTGAGACAACCCCAGTGCTCTCCCCACTTGCCTGTGAGTGGGCGGAGCACCAGAGCTCCTTTAACTGCTTGCTGCGGGGAGTGGCAACCGTGTTCCTCTCAGCCCAAGCAGTTTCACAGAGCCCCCACTCCACCGCCGACTTGCGGGAGCCAGCGCAGGACTGAGGGCTCCTTTAACTGCTCAACTGAGGCAAGGGCAGCTGCACACTCTACAGTTGAGCAGTTTAAAGATGCAGAAGGGAGGAACAAGGTGTATCGACACCTCGCCGATACAGCTTGTTTCTCCCTCTCCATCATATGAGGGCAGAGTGGGATGGCGGTTTCACCAGCGATATATCACTGAGTGAAACCAACATTGCGGTCTGTTCCTCATACTGCTCCTGGGCGATATATTGATAAATCACCCAGGCCTACCAGGGGGTTGGACTAGATGACCCTTGTGGTCCCTTCCAACTCTAGGATTTTATGATTTCGTGATTCTATGAAAATAAGATCAGAAATGATAATTAAAATTAAAATTATATAATGAATACAATTGTATTTTTACTTATAGGTTAGACATGGTACTCTTTTTCAGATTTACAGGCAGCGGCCCCCCCCCCCGGTTTATGTGGGGGTTACGTTCCAAGGCCCTGTGCACATTGATGAAATCGCGCATAATTGAAACCCATTGAAAAAGCCTGCAAACACCCCATTTCACCCTGATCCTCTACCATTTCACTCATTTCGTGATGGTTCAGTGGCGTCTTTGATGTTTCCGGGTCACTTCTGGGTTCAGCGCAGTGCGTGTATACACAGTCACACGCACATGGGGCTGCCTGTATAGTATCTCTGCAAACTGGCATACCTTTGCAAATAAAATCAGTAGTTTGTATGTGCAGCATGCCATGGAAAAATCTGAACTCATATTTCCTGGTTTCTAATTCATTGAATGTTAGCTGCAAGAATTAGGACAAATTGTTAGAAGTAAATCTGTTGGGATCGGAGAGGCAGCGCATTAAATTTCTAAATGTATTTGTGTTTATGCTCTTAACAGAAGTGGTTCCTTCTACAACTTAGTTGCATTTTTCTCCCTTTCTTCCCCCTCACCCTCCTTTAACTGATAAAGGTCATGTATCACTCAAATTGCCACCATTGTGAAAACAATTTGAGTCCCTAACAGATGTTTCATAGGTTTGACTCTGGACTTAAAAGGAAATTGCTCTTTATGTCTGCAGAAAGATATGCATTGCATCAAAGCCTTCCCTACAGACTGCATAAAATGTTAAAATTTCCTTTTGATAAACTTACTGTCACAACTTCACTGTATTAAAGTGAGCATGTGCAAGTCCACCATTTTGCTTCAAATGGTTTCCAAGATAAGCATCACTTTTCTCCCACTTGTCTCTTGTGGGAAGCCATTTGAAGCTTGTCCAAGCATTTTTAAAATGTTCAAAGCATAAACTCTTTATTTGCTGGATTCTCTGCCTTGAGAACAATTGGAACAATCATTTAATCCAGACCACCATTTTGATTCCAACAGTGGTCATCCATATTATTCTGGGGAGCTTAAAGGAGGGCACTAATACCCCTTCTCTAGTTTTTTTCTCAGCAAAGAAAGGGGTGTCACCCCCCCCTGCACCAATTATATAGTATTGCTGGAGTGCTGACGATGTGAATGGGTTCCACATCTTTCTGTTGCCCCCACAGCTTGTGGAAGAGCAGACTTAGGTGCTTGTAATGAACATCTGTTTGGGGCTATTTTTGCAGGAGGAATTTTGCAATCTATTTTTGCAGGAGGAACCAGCTTAGTGGGGGAGGGAGTGTCCCTTCCTGGTCCTCCTCCATCAAATTATCAAGATAATTATTTACAATGTGAAGTTGTGCCTGCAGCTGTCAACATCTACTTCTGCACTGCTGTGAAGCAATTTCAGGGCAAGGGCAGGATTTTCTCTTTGAAAAATCACAACACCTGAAGTCAGACTTGTGGCTAACTGATTAATATTCTTTCATGGGCTTCTCACAGTTTCCATGGTATCAGCATTTCTGTTCCGGAAAGTCTCTACCCACAAGCCATTCTTTTTTTGTATTTTTAAAGGAATGTCTTTAGGAAGGTAGTATGAAAATTATAAAATCTGCTTTTACTACTGAGCCTATTTGAGGAGAATTGATAATTTTAAAGAAGAAGCAATCAAAATAATTACAAACCTTTTCTTCTTTTCTCTTTCCTCCTTCCTTTTCTTTGAGTTATATGTGGAACAAACCATTTAGTGAAGATATTCATCTTGTAAGAACTCATAGCATAATGCTATTTTCCTGAAATGGTGGGGGGATATCCGTGTTTGGGTTGCACCTCCCACTCACTTCAGAAGGCAGGGCTATGTAATTTACCTTGCACGAGAGAGAGCGCACCCCTCCCAGTTTTCAGTCCTGCCTACTCCTGGAGACAGGCTCAGGCAATGTTTGTAGCTTCCGCCATTTTCTATTTCTGATTTTATTCTGTTTGCCTTGCCTTCCTCCCAGCTAGTCTGACTTGCCCTGAGAAGAGGGATTGGGGGGGGGGGGCTTGGCTTGGAGATCTCCCTGAGAGGCAATATAGAAAGACATCAGGGCATCTTATCACCAGAAAGATGATAAAAGGTAAAGGGACCCCTGACCATTAGGTCCAGTTGTGACCGACTCTGGGGTTGCGGCGCTCATCTCGCTTTATTGGCCGAGGGAGCCGGCGTACAGCTTCCGGGGCATGTGGCCAGCATGACTAAGCCGCTTCTGGCGAACCAGAGCAGCGCACGGAAACGCCCTTTACCTTCCCACCGGAGTGGTACCTATTTATCTACTTGCACTTTGACGTGCTTTCGAACTTGCTAGGTTGGCAGGAGCAGGGACCGAGCAACGGGAGCTCACCCTGTCGCGGGGATTTGAACCACCAGCCTTCTGATCGGCAAGTCCTAGGCTCTGTGGTTTAACCCACAGCGCCACCCGCGTCCCTGTAGAAAGATGATAGACCAGTGCTGTTGTTAGACTTGTCCAAAGATCGATTTGAAAGAGCATTATCAAGTTGCTGCCAGAGCTTTGGCTTGTCATCAACTGCTCAGGGGACAAAGCTCTCCCAACTGGACATTTTGCTTGGTTCTTGATGCACACCTTCATTTGGGGGTGACTAGTCACATGCAATGAAGTATAAGTAGAGCTGCAGCCAGGACCAATTCATTTTCATCCTAATGAGCTATTTAATCTGGTTAAAAGATGTAAAATAAGTAAATGGTTTAAGGAAGAGAAAGCAGATTTAGTTCTGTTGCAGTGAACACATTTCAAGACACCAGAATCTCACAGTTTAAGCACTGTATTTAAAGGAGATTCTCTTCGCTTGTGCTGCAATAAAACACAAGGAAGTGAATACTTAGATCTTCCAACTAAGGGTATTTGAGTGTTTATAAGGATATGTGTTTGTAAGAGGGAATATTGAGAAGATAAGATGGACAGTAGCGGATTGAGTTTTGGATTTTAAGGTTTTCCTATGGTACTTCTGAAAGAGAGAGTGGTGTGTTGGATAATTATTGATTGGAGATTTCACAGTGTTTATGAGCTTCAAGGCAGAATAACGTAACACTCAAACAGAGTGCTAATCTTAGGCTTAAGAAATGAATAACTTATTGAGTAGAATAATTTATTGAGTAGTGATGGAAAATGCATCTCTTTATCTTGAATGTGTGGTGTATATTAAAATACGTTTGCCCACTTATTCTCTACTGGCATATACTATTAAATACATTAGGGTCTGTTTTAAGTAACACCTGCTGGTATTTATATATTCTTTCTTTTAGTACTGCATTACTTTAATATAGTATTAGAGGGGTATACACTATGTGTTGCACTCTTGAGTAGACCTAATTTGGTTTTATTTATCTAGAAATATTAAACTGTAAACAGTATATACTATTCTGCTTTTGGGGTTCTGTGGGAAGGGTGAAGGAATCGGAATCTTAGCCACCCTGCATTTTATTTCTGCTAGTAAACAGTAGAAATGTTGTTTATAGCATGGAGCAGATCCAACAAAAAAGAACAGAGATGGCAACACACCTCTAGACCTCGTGAAGGAGGGAGACACAGATATACAGGACCTGCTGCGAGGTGATGCAGCTTTGTTAGACGCTGCCAAGAAGGGCTGCCTGGCGCGAGTTCAGAAATTGTGTTCTCCAGAAAACATCAATTGCCGAGATACCCAGGGACGAAACTCAACTCCGCTGCATCTTGCTGGTAAGTGGTTTGTCAGGCTTTCTTTATCACAGCCACATAATTTATTCACCAAAAAAATTGTCTTGGAAACGGTCCCAGCTATTTAAAGAATCATACATGAATGCAGCAGGAAGTGAGAGGTTCTCCATTAAAAATACAAGCGATTTTTCTATTAACTGCTGGATGTTCCGTTGATGCTTTGTTTTTCTTCATAAAGCTGGTTACAATAATTTGGAAGTTGCTGAGTATCTTCTGGAGCATGGTGCTGATGTCAACGCTCAAGATAAAGGAGGATTAATTCCACTACATAATGCAGCATCCTATGGGGTAAGCATCATTCATTAATGTATAGATTTTCAAGACTCTTATTCCCCCGTTCTGTAGAATTATCAAGGCACCTTACAATGCAAAACAAAGAAAAAGAAAAAAATAACCCCAGCAAGTAATAATAGCAGCAATAAATAATGAAGAAAACAATCTATACTCCCAAAGATGGTGCAGCAGCAATATACTATAAAAGATTGCTAAAACTGGTATAGGTGTAGAGTATATTGGTAGCTTCTAATTACTGCAGTTTTCCCTTTAAGTGGAAAGCCTGTCAGATGGGAAACAGAAACGTCTTTCAGGACTTTTAATTGAAATAGGGTGAATATATCATTTTTACTGAAACTGTTCCTTGCATGCGTATAGCTATTTGATAAGCTGGGGGTGAGAATTTTGCACCTGGCGAAAAAACTGAGCAGCAGGGGAATGACGATTCTTTGCACGATGTGGCAGAAAAATGCACATGACTGTTTTCTAGTGATCACATGACTACCATGATAAGTTACCCCTTGATAAATAGCCATCAGTATTTACCAGTGGACCGGTGAAATCCAGATCAAAGTATTAGGGGAGGACAAGTTCCTAGGTTCCACCTTATCCTGCTCCCTTTGTTTCATATATGCAATCAATAAGCAAGCCTTTTTCAATTTCTTCTGTTCCCATCTTCCTATGTAGAAATGGAAAAAGGCTTGCTTATTGATTGCAACTAAGAAAAGCCCACTTTAGGGAAACTCCAGGTAACTGAAGAACTGCAGGAGTCTCAGTATACTGCAAGTATGTTAGGGAGCTTCCAGCACTTAATACATCCATCCATCCAAGACTTATAAATGCAAAACCTATAATTTAAGAATACTTTCTTTTGCACCTCCTTTAATGCCTGCTTGCTATTCTACTCTTTTTTTATCTCTCTCTCACCCCTCCGGCAGCATGTGGATATAGCTGCTTTGCTGATTAAGTACAATACCTGTGTAAATGCCACAGATAAATGGGCATTTACACCATTGCATGAAGCAGCACAAAAAGGAAGGACGCAGCTGTGTGCCCTACTTCTAGCTCACGGAGCAGATCCAACAATGAAGAACCAAGAAGGCCAGACACCTTTGGATTTAGCTACAGTAAGTCCGTTTTGAAAAAGAAACAGCAGTTATTTCTAAGCTGCAGATCACTAACTAGTACAGTAGCATGCTTTTTACTTACCGTATTTTTCACTCTATAAGACGCACCAGGCCATAAGACGCACCTAGTTTTTGGAAGAGGAAAACAAGAAAAATATATATTCTGAATCCCAGAAGCCAGAACAGCAAGCTGGATCGCATCCCCTGCCCGCGGCTAAGTCTCCCCCAAGAGCTGCGCTCCCTTTAAAGAGCGCATGGAGTGTGCATGCGGCTCTTGGGGGCTTTTCCCAGAGGAGGGAGAAGGGCAGCCCTTCTCCCTCCTTGGGGAAAAGCCCCCAAGATCCGCACGCTCTTTAAAGGGTGCACGGCTCCTGCGGGCTTTTCTACGAGGTGGGGGAACCTGCATGTATGTGTGGCTCTTGTGGGGTTTTCCCACCTGCATTCGCTCCATAAGACGCGCACAAAATTTCCTCTTACTTTTTAGGAGGGAAAAAGTGTGTCTTAGGAAGCGAAAAATACGGTAATCAGCCACATTTCTATCCTGACCTTTCTGTTAAGGAGCTCAGGGGGGCATATGTAAAGTTGGCCCAATTTTATCCCCTCAAACAACCTTGCGAGGTCAGGTAGACCTCATAGTGAGTTTCAAGACTAGGGACATGAGCCTACTTCCCTCCAGCCCAAATCCAGCACATGATTCATTATACTACAACTCTCCTGTTTTACATCAAGAGCAGGCAGAACTATGAATCTTGTACAGATTTTGCATCTTTCTTTGTAAACCCATCATTTCGTCCAGGCAAATTCACGATGTGTTCATTCATTTGGTTACTATTGAACGATTGCTTTCCACCTTAAATTCGATTTTGACCCTGCTCCTTGAACTTTTATATTGAACTTTAAAAACCAAGTGATGGCACCTGAAATGTGAACATGCGTAAAAATAATCTCAGTTTCGAAACAGCAGAACTTAATGCTTCCAAATTTGTCCAAGGCTGATGGTATTTAACATTCACAAGCAATGCCAGTTTAAAGAACAGCTCGAAAATAAAAATAAAAATTATCTAATCAGGGTACATCTTCAAGAAACAATTGAACACTGTTTCTAATTATTATTTTTTTGTACATGTGATTTTCTTGTTTTCAGGCTGATGATATTCGAGCCTTGCTGATAGATGCGATGCCCCCAGAGGCCTTGCCAACCTGCTTTAAACCTCAGGCTACTGTTGTTAGTGCCTCTATCATTTCGCCAGCATCAACTCCATCCTGCCTCTCTGCTGCCAGCAGCATAGACAACCTTGCAGGACCTCTGGCAGAAATAGCAGTGGGAGGGGCGTCCAATGCTGGTGATGGAGCAGCAGGAACAGAAAGGAAAGAAGGAGAAGGTAAGTTTGCCGACAGCGCGAAACACTCAGGCTGCAATCCTGTGCACACTGACTAGGGAGTGAGCCCCCTGGTACCTAGTGGGACTTATTTATATTTATATATCGCTGTATCACAAAAATGTAGCAAAGTGGTTTACAACAGTAAAAACAAATATATGTAGGATTGCACTGTGACTACTGTAATCTCTCACATTATCCTAATAAGTTTGCTTCGTTATTTTGTCCAGCTGTAAAATAAATTTCAGAGTCCTAGGATTTGCTTTAATCAAATGAAATTTCATTTTGAATCAATAATCTTCCTGACTTTTTGTTAGCAATTGATTCCTGGGGTTTTTTAATATTTCTAATTAGTGAAAGATGTGTTCTGTTTGTTTGTTTCTTTCTTTCTGCCTATAGTGGAAGTTTGACTTGTAGAAAGGAATACATGAAAATATAACCGAAGTTGTAAGGCTTTAGAAGTGGTGATCATTAAGAGGGGATTAATATGTTTGTGTAGTTTAACTACTGACAGTTATGAGTGGCCTCCTCATGCAAGTGATGCAATATCATAGGGTGATACTGATAGAAAAGCAGGCAGGAAGCATTGAACATGCAATTCCTTATAAAAGAAGCAGTTACTTAGTTTTCTTTGAGAAGTATTCTGTAGCATTAGCCTATACCTAACAGTTTAAATGTCACAAACTGTGAATCAAAGTTTCTGAACCCGCTTTTGGAATCCACTTTGTAGAAAAAAACATCTCAGCAGAAATACACCTAGTCTTCATCTGAATTCCTTAATAATTCTTCATATTTAGGTTCCTCCCCCTCAATCTACTTTCAATGAAAGTTTTCTCAAAGATGGATTAGTTTTTGCATTTTAAAATTGCATTTTGCAATTGATGTCTGGTACATTGTTCAGTATGTGTTTGCATCCTTTTGTGAAAAACACACTGCTGTGTCTCTTATTGTAGTTGTTGGACTTGACATGAACATCAGTCAGTTCCTGAAGAGTCTTGGTCTGGAACATCTTCGGGATATCTTTGAAACAGAACAGGTAAGATCCTGCTCTCTCCAAAGTAGTGTTCCACTATTCTTTAGTCTTATAATACACCTAGAATAATAGGACATATTGTCTAAGATTGAAGGAACTGTGTAGCTAGTTTTGTGCATGCAGGGGCCTTTCGACTTTAGTTTCCAATCAGCACAGGCATTGGTAGTTTTACTTTCCCATTCATTTCAGTAGGGGCAAATCAGTAAAAAAGATAGATCCCTGTCCTGACGTAAAATACTTATTTTTGTTCTTTTCTGTGCTTCTCAGATTACCTTGGATGTACTGGCAGACATGGGACATGAGGAGCTGAAAGAAATTGGCATCAATGCCTATGGGCATCGTCATAAGTTGATAAAAGGTGTAGAGAGACTTCTAGGTGGCCAGCAAGGTGAGTCTGCTAAAGCATCCTGCATCGAAATCAATTGGAGCTTTGTCTACACACAGTAAGCTCCATCCTTCGTACACTATAGAAATCTTTCAGGAAGGTCCTTAGGTGATGAGCGATCTAGGCAACTCTGTCTATTCATTTTTGTAGCCTAATTTATTAGAGAACCTCAGGCTTGAGCACAGCAATTTTGCCTGATGGACTTGAAGGCAACAAAGAAAAGAGCACCAGAATAAAATATAAACCTCTTTTAAAAAATGCAAATGAAATGAGATGGTTTTATCTGCATGCCTAAGTCATGACCCCAATCTCACACAAAATCAAGCTATTCCTATTGCCACAGTGTCGGAAGCGCCGCTTGTCACCAACCCTTCCCATGCACCTTCCAAACAGCAGTTCCTCTTCTGCTCCTGTCCCAAAGGAACCACCCTGCCAACCTATTTCCAAAGCCCTTTCTCTTAACGGTGGTCAGGGAGTCAGCATGTTACATGCACTTGGCTAAGGTCTTGTGCAGTATGTATTATCAGGAGAATTGAGGGCTGTGGAATATAAATTACTTGTAGAATGGATGCAGTATTTCAGTGTGCATGTTCTGTATTTCAGGCACCAATCCTTATTTGACTTTTCACTGTGTCAGCCAGGGAACTATCCTGATAGACCTTGCTCCTGACGACAAAGAGTATCAATCTGTGGAAGAAGAGGTAATTACATGTATAAAGACATTTGGGACTGACTCATTCGTGAATGTATTAAACTTCTTAAGGGTGCTTCCACACCAGATAGAGAACTGAAAGTTGACGATCCCCAGATGGTTCAATAGAGGGACTAGTAATTTAATTTACTAATTACCTAAACCTTCTGAAATTAGTACTTTATACCTCTCTGTTGCAATGTGGGACGCAAAATAATTTCCTGAAAGACACAAGTAGTCTAACACAGAGCAACACATGGGGATGGAAGGTTGTGGCGTGAAATTTTGTTTCTCCCTTTATACACTTGAATCCATCTTTTCCTAGAGGAAAATTCCATTGGCAGACAGGAGCCTATCTGTGTTTGTAAATACAGTTTGTATTGTGCTGATAGAGATGCAAAATATCCTAGGGTTAATTTTGTACCTCTTGTTTCCAAAACCTGCGTAGTTGTACTTTAAACATGCCGTGGCTTAGGGCTATGTTGAATGCTTCATGTTTCTCACCGTCTAAGAGATAAAATAAGCGTTTCTAATTCCTATGTCTTATGTTTTAAATGCCCCAAACGCTAAGGATGCTGGATTACTTCTTGTTGTTAATACATTTGTAGCTGGAGTTATTCAGGGTCCTGCCCTCCTAGGCCGGTAGAAAAACCCCTACCAGGCAGGAAGCAGGTCTTCCAGAACTCACAGCCAAGATGGTCTCTAGATATGAAAAAGAAAGAATTCCTTCTGTGAATAAAAGTTTATCTACCTGCTCTCAACAAGGTTACAGGGGAACAAGTAGTGGTAAGCCTGATAGGCTTCTCAGTGCCCATAACTCAGCGCAAGTTCTCATTCACTAAAGGGAAACAGTATTCAACCCTTTATCTGCTGTGCTCATCTGGTTAGATGCCCTTACAGCCCCACAAGGGGTTGAACCTTGTTGGGAGCAGATAGGAGCTTGTATTAATTGAAGGAGGTGCATGAAATGAGGATGGGAGCAACTCAGAAACATGCCTCCTTCCCAGATTATACTGGGCATGGAGCAGGTGAATGGGAAAGTTCCTTCTCTGTAACAAACAAGACTGTGGGCATCACTATCTCTTATTCATTCTTTTACAGAAGAAAGAAATATGCAGAAATGCCCACCTTTCTCTTTTCCATTTCTGCCTCCTTCCTCAGAAGGATAGGAAGAAGAGCAAGAATGGTTTATTCACAGCTTGCCTGTCTTGGCTGGGGAGATAAACACTGCTTCTGTACAGTGGTACCTCGCAAGACGAATGCCTCGCAAGACAAAAAACTCGCTAGACGAAAGGTTTTTCCGTTTGCGAGTTGCCTCGCAAGACGAATTTCCCTATGGGCTTGCTTCGCAAGACGAAAACGTCTCGCGACTTTGTTTCCTTTGTCTAAATAATAATTCGCAAGACGAAAAATTCGCTAGACGACAAAACTTGCGGAACGAATTAATTTCGTCTTGCGGGGCACCACTGTATTTGTTTCCCCTCCACACAGTCACAGAACGTAAAAGGCAATAGTTGTAAACACCAGATTAAGATGCGGGCAGTATTTCTGAGATGTCCCCTTCTGAGTGTCTTACTGTATACCACTTGACTGTTTTACAGATGCAGAGTACCATCAGGGAACACCGAGATGGTGGCAATGCTGGGGGGATCTTCAACAGGTATAATGTCATCAGGGTAAGTGTCAAGGACTTTGAAAGCCTTCGTATGAAACAGCTACCAATTTTGCTGATAACAAAATCCTTGCCTGGCAGGATACAGGACCCTTAGGTTCTCTAAATAAAGCGATCGTAGGAATGGATGGAGTACTGTTGAGAATCGGAGCAGCAGCTTTGAACAGAAAACCTTTACATTACTGTGTATACTGACCTTTTAGACTGGGGGCCATAATTAAGGAAGCAGGTGAAAAGGGAGCACAAGTAAGTGGTTTAGTTTAGCCATATATTCACGAGGCTAATATATTTCCAGTTCAGGATCTTCATAAGTAATCACACCCAGTGCTCCTCCTGATCTTATTTCAGTTGCGTCCTATGACCAGGCACCCCCAACCTTCGGCCTTCCAGATGTTTTGGACTACAATTCCCATCATCTACTGGTCCTGTTAGCTAGGGATCATGGGAGTTGTAGGCAAAAACTTCTGGAGGGCCGCAGGTTGGGGATGCTTGCTTATGACCCTTCAAGGTTGGGAGAAACCAGTTCAATGGTTTCCATATCAGAGTGCTTGTTGCCCCTGCCTTTATCTGCTTTAAAGCTAAGAGACTTGCAGCAGCACCCACTGCGTTTCCAGTTTAGAAAGAGTGCCACAGCAGCCTTTGAAACCTTGTGGAATAATGTTGCCATGTGCCTTTTCTCCTTGGGGCCAAATGTGTTTTGGTCCAAGCCATTTCTTCTCTGAATTATACTGCATTGTACTTAATCTACTAACATACACTCTCCAGAGAGTGTTAAGTATTTCTATTCTGGAGGAATCGTGGGTGAAGCTGCAGCTTGTTATACAAGGCTACAAAAGGGGATTATTATTATTATTATTATTATTATTATTATTATTATTATTATTATGATAAAGTAGTCTATGGGTTGGATCCAGATTTACATTGTGAACATAATGCCTCCCTTTGTTTGTGCACATGACCCAAATTCAACAGAGGCTCCCACTTCCCCTTCCTTTTCTGAAGGATCCCTCAATTCTCTGGAGCGCCTTTTCATGGGATTGCAGGAAAAATTACCTCTCCTCTCTTTCATTCAGTGGAGTGTCATACAAAGAGACCCAGCCCTAAGACCTCCCTTATATTTAGTAATACTGTTTTCTTTTATTTAAGGTAATCCCACATATTTTTAAAATGTCAGTTTATATGGAAATATTTTCTCTGGAGTTCTGTTTCTCTGGTTCAGTTATTGCTTATCTTTTATCCTTTTAAAGATTCAAAAGGTGGTGAATAAGAAGCTGAGGGAGAGATTCTGTCATAGACAGAAAGAAGTCTCAGAAGAAAACCATAACCACCACAATGAACGCATGTTATTTCATGGTGAGTAGCCTTGCCTCATCTAGTCATCTAATCCAACCCCCTGAAATGCAGGAATCTGAGCTACTTCATATATGACAGATGGCCATCCAACCTCTGCTTAAGAACCTCCAAGGAAGGAGAGTCCGCCACCTCTCGCGGGAGTCTGTTCCACTGTCAAACAGCTCTTATTGCAGAAAGTTCTTCGTGATGTTTCATCAGAATTTCCTTTCTTGTAACTTGAATCCATAAATTGTGTTTTTGTACCCTTTGGGTTTTATCCAGCTTTAGTCACACACACAGCAGGCTCATTGAAATTAATGGACATTAGTTTTCTGTTTGGACATCATTTCTTCACCCCCAGTTCTTCCTCTGTTTGTTAAAAGTAGGGTGCTAGGAAAAATGATGGAAGAGGCACCCTACCACTGGAGTCAAAGGAGCTTGCCAAAGATTCTGGAGAGTTTAACAAATGTTATTGCTCATTGGTGGCAGATGTTGAAAAGGATCAGAAGTCCATGTTGGTGCTGGTGGTGTTCAGAGATTTCCTATACGCCCCTGGCAGTCTCTATCAGAGAAAGGGATTGGTTGAGCCTTAGTATTAACCATGCAGTATGAATGACTATATTTCTATTGTACAAGTGGGTGGGTGGGGGGGGAGGGAGAAGAGCCTTCCTTCTTTCTATGCAAACAAGCCCAAACTCTTTCCAACACTGGTGGTTTGTCCAACAACTTAATCAGTAGAAATTCAGAACTCTGGCTGTAAGTGGTAGTGCTATCTAATCCCAGAGAATGGCTTACAAAGCTAGACGGCTTTGTTTTTATGTATGTTCAGCAATATTTGAAGTAGGGAGCTTGCCGTTTCCTCATATATATGGAAATCATAAATATGTACTTGAAAATCTCCAGTGCAGTTTCTTACCCATTTGTACATTGCTTCCGAATTTGATTTAATTAATTTGCATTTGAACATGGAGGCTGTATACCACATGCATAATCAACGTGTTTTACGTTCTGTTCCAGGGTCCCCTTTTATTAATGCTATTATTCACAAAGGATTTGATGAAAGGCACGCATACATTGGAGGCATGTTTGGAGCTGGGATTTACTTTGCAGAAAATTCCTCTAAAAGTAACCAATACGTATATGGAATTGGGGGAGGCACAGGTTGCCCCACGCATAAAGACAGATCGTGCTACATCTGCCACAGGTGGGTTTCTGGTGACCTGTATCACCCCGTCAGCCAAATGTAATGTTTCTTTTTCTTTAAGAGTTCTTGGGAGGAAAAGAGCTGGTTGAGCATCAAACTGGAAATAGAAGGAAATGTTTTAAACTTGTCAGGTCTTTCACCCGGAGAAATGTTTCTGTTGTGCACACTGACAAATTCTGTGTACTAAATAAAACCGCTGATAACAAAGTTTTGGCTTCACTGCCACTTTGGCCGTAGTCCAACATGCAAGTAGACACAGCTTGAGGAGCTAGTTCTTGACAGAGGACTTTCATCAGATCTGCTGTTTAGGCATGCTTCTTTCCTAGGTTAGCCATCTTATTTCTCCCTTCAATCATGAATCCTGAAACAGGGGAAATCCGATTTCTTTTTCACTTCAGTTAAAATTTAGTCATGATGTGTCGTTGGCTAACCACTCTGAAACCATGGATTGTTAGCTTGCTGGTTGTAGCTTTTCACACAAAGCAATTGGGCAGCATGTGAGAGTATGCTGCCTTTTCTAGATAACCTGCGGTAAGCCAGAAAGCCTGGCTTATAATGTACAAATGCAGCCTAAAATACAACTTTTGACTGCTCTAAGAACTTTGGGTATTCAAAGTAAATAGCTTAAGAAGTTTCAGGTAGCTGCACACTGGAGCCAGTGTGGTGTAGTGGTTAAGACTCGTAATCTGGTGAACTGGGTTCGCGTCTCCGCTCCTCCACATGCAGCTGCTGGGTGACCTTGGGCTAGTCACACTTCTCTGAAGTCTCTCAGCCCCACTCACCTCACAGAGTGTTTGTTGTGGGGGAGGAAGGGAAAGGAGAATGTAAGCTGCTTTGAGACTCTTTAAGGGGAGTGAAAGGTGGGATATTAAATCCAAACTACTCCTCCTCCTCCTCCTCCTCCTCCTCCTCTTCTTCTTTTTCTCTTCCCAAGCATTCCTTCTTTCCTGCTAGTGACATTGCTCTGTTCATCTTCTTTCCTCCCCCTTTCAGGCAAATGCTCTTTTGTCGTGTGACGCTGGGGAAATCCTTCTTGCAGTTTAGCACCATGAAAATGGCCCATGCCCCGCCTGGGCATCATTCAGTCATTGGCCGGCCAAGCGTCAATGGACTTGCATATGCTGAGTATGTTATCTATAGAGGAGAACAGGTAAGCAGTGTACGTGGTGCTTCTGTACAGCTGGGTGATTGATGTGCTAATTGACTGTACCAGTCAACTGATGCGCACTGCCTATGTGTCACTAAAGTCCATCTGGGCTGCCTCATGCTTTGCGCAGCAAGCTCATCCACTGAGTGTACCGTCAGAGTGACAATGCTGTTTCCCGCAGCACATTTATAGTTTGCTGTCTTGGTTGGCCAGGATATATATATGGATGTTTAAAGCAGTGTTTCCCAACCGGTGTTCCGCGGCACACTAGTGTGCCGCCAGACGTTGCCTGGTGTGCCGCGGGAAAAATTGGCGGGGGGGGGGGGGGAATAAAGGGGGGAAAAATTATTCCCCCACCGCCAGGCGTGGGGCTGGGGCGGGGGAAGCCCGAGCTTCCCCCTCCCCCAGAACGGGACCCAGAGCCATGCCGAAGCTGCGCGCAGCTTTGGCATCGCTCTGGGAGCTTGCGGGGCTGGGGGAGGAGGAAGCCCTCCGCCAGCCTCCAAACCATGTCGGGAGACAGCGGGATGGCGCGCTGCGCCTCTCCCGCTGTCCCCCGAGTTTGCAGGGCTGGCGATGGGGAGGAGCAGGCTTCTCCCCCCGCCAGCCTTCCAGCCAAGTCGGGGGGCAGCGGCAAGGGCGCGCTGCGCCTCTCCCGCTGTCCCCCGAGTTTGCAGGGCTGGCGATGGGGAGGAGCAGGCTTCTCCCCCCGCCAGCCTTCCAGCCAAGTCGGGGGGCAGCGGCAAGGGCGCGCTGCGCCTCTCCCGCTGTCCCCGAGTTTGCAGGGCTGGCGATGGGGAGGAGCAGGCTTCTCCCCCGCCAGCCTTCCAGCCAAGTCGGGGGGCAGCGGCAAGGGCGCGCTGCGCCTCTCCCGCTGTCCCCCGAGTTTGCAGGGCTGGCGATGGGGAGGAGCAGGCTTCTCCCCCCGCCAGCCTTCCAGCCAAGTCGGGGGGCAGCGGCAAGGGCGCGCTGCGCCTCTCCCGCTGTCCCCCGAGTTTGCAGGGCTGGCGATGGGGAGGAGCAGGCTTCTCCCCCCGCCAGCCTTCCAGCCAAGTCGGGGGGCAGCGGCAAGGGCGCGCTGCGCCTCTCCCGCTGTCCCCCGAGTTTGCAGGGCTGGCGATGGGGAGGAGCAGGCTTCTCCCCCCGCCAGCCTTCCAGCCAAGTCGGGGGGCAGCGGCAAGGGCGCGCTGCGCCTCTCCCGCTGTCCCCGAGTTTGCAGGGCTGGCGATGGGGAGGAGCAGGCTTCTCCCCCCGCCAGCCTTCCAGCCAAGTCGGGGGGCAGCGGCAAGGGCGCGCTGCGCCTCTCCCGCTGTCCCCCGAGTTTGCGGGGCTGGCGATGTGGAGGAGCAGGCTTCTCCCCCCGCCAGCCTTCCAGCCAAGTCGGGGGGCAGCGGCAAGGGCGCGCTGTGCCTCTCCCGCTGTCCCCCGAGTTTGCGGGGCTGGCGATGGGGAGGAGCAGGCTTCTCCCCCCGCCAGCCTTCCAGCCAAGTCGGGGGACAACGGGAATGGCGCGCTGCCTTTCTCCGCTGTCCCGGACGGCTTTCAAAAGCCTGCCTTCAAAAGCCGTCCGGGACAGCGGAGAAACGCGCTGCCTTTCTCCGCTCTCCCGGGAAGGCAGGCAGGGGGGAGCAAAGACTTTCGCCCCCGCCCACCTTCAGAAGAGGTCCAGGACCTCTTCTGAAGGCGGGCGGGGGGCGAAAATCTTTGTCCCCCCTGCCTGCCTTCCCAGGGGCTTTTAAATCGCCCCGGACAGCGGAGAAGTCCTTCGCTGTCCCGGGCGATTTTAAAATGCCGCCCGCCAGCATTTTAAGATTGCCCCGGACAGCGGAGAAGTCCTCCGCTGTCCCGGGGTTTTTTAAAATGCTGGGGGTGGGAAGAAAAGCCCTTGTCCCCCCCCCAGCCTTCAGAAGAGGTCGGGGGACAGACTGTCCCCGGACCTGGTCTGAAGGCGGTTTCCCTAGGAACGCATTAATTGATTTTCAATGCATTCCTATGGGAAACCGTGCATCGCAAGACGAAAAACTCGCAAGACGAAGAGACTTCTGGAACGAATTAATTTCGTCTTGCGAGGCACCACTGTATCCGGAGAGGCGGCCTTCAGGCGAGTTTTAATTTTAATTTTCCTTCTCCCACTTAATGCCCCACGCTCGCCCGAGCAGCTTGCAGTCCTCGGTAACCACGGCGACCCGAGGGAGGGGAGGGAACAGGGAAGTCGAGGGCGGCGGCGAGCCGCGATGACGTCAGTGGGCCGCGCCGCCTCGCCATGGCACGGTGTGAGAGCCCTGGCTAGTGGTGCGAGCTTCAGAATAAGTGGGATCCGCGTGCGCTGCGCGCTGACGTCACGGGGCTGTAATGGTGGTGTGCCTCGAGATTTTTTTCATGAAACAAGTGTGCCTTTGCCCAAAAAAGGTTGGGAAACACTGGTTTAAAGACACATGTGCCTTTCACGCTTCACAAAGCAGACGTGATTGCTACATGTTTCCTGCCACAAATCCGTAAAGCATGGGTAGGCAAAGTAAGGCCCAGGGGCCAGATATGGCCCAATCGCCTTCTCAATCTGGCCCACGGACTGTTCAGGAATCAGCCTGTTTTTACATGAGTAGAATGTGTCCTTTTATTCAAAATGCATCTCTGAGGTATTTGTGGGGCATAGGAGTTTGTTCAACCCCCCCCCCCCAATATAGTCCAGCCCCCCCCCCCCAAGGTCTGAGGGGACAGTGGACCAGCCCCCTGCTGAAAATGTTTGCTGACTCCTGGCGTAAAGTGTGGTGGTTCCCTAATTAATTCTGGTTTTCTTGTATGAGGACCAAACCTCAACCCTGCCTGGTAACCCTAAAGGCTCCTAAAAGATCCAAATTGTTTTATAATACGTGCAACAAGAGACATCTCTTTGCCACTGGAACATTTGAGCATTTACCTGTGGTAAAAAACAACAACATTTCATTGGGTTTCATTCCATCCATTTCACTGATTCATATTCAGTGGCATTTTTTAAAGCCACCTTCCCCCCAGAAAACCCTCTCTCTGTTAGTCCTTGGGCCAGACACCCCCCCTCTGTCTTATGATGCAATGTTGAAATTGGGTAACTTCCCTGTATTGCCACCCTGAGCTCCTCAGAGGAAGGCTGGGATATGAATGTGATAAGTAAGTCCCAGCGTGCTGCTTGCAGGAGGCAAAATAGTGTCGCTCGCCTACCCGCTCTGAACATTGGACAGAAAAAAGACTCCAAGCTACTTCCTGGACCAGCAGCTGCCATTGTGGTGGATGCTTTAGAAAGCCCTAACGTCTAAAACGTAGCTTTCAACCTCCCATGCCCTTTTGACATTCAGTTCTTAATGCTCTGCCCTTTCTCAGCACTTGTTCAGATGGTAGTTTCTTTCTGAAGAAAAGGAAGGAACTGGCCGTGGGTGAGAGGGCTCCTCCTGCCTTTTGCAGGAGGGGGAAATGAGCAGCTGATAACTATGGTGGGCAGCATGGAGGGAACATCTTCCAGATAGAGGATGCAATGTCTGGAGGGGTGGTGGATGCCTTCTGAAGATGGACATAGTGTTGCAGTGCACTGGAAAAGGGTTGTATTCTGTTGGAAGCCAGCTAGAGTGGCTGAGGCAACGCAGCCAGATGTGCAGGTTACAAGTAATTCATCATCATCATCATCATCATCATCGGGAGGGGTGGAATAAGGGAGGGAAGCAACATGAAAGTGGGCTGAAATGTGATTTCTTTCTGAACCTCTGAAATGCATAATTTATTTGTATTTGTATTTATCTTCTTGTTCTTAGGCTTACCCCGAGTATCTGATTACATACCAAATTGTAAAGCCAGATACTCCCTCACAGACAGCAACGGCCGCAGAGCAGAAGACCTAGTAAATGCTGTTTTGGTGAAACAAATCAGATGACTTTAATAACTTACGGACTGGATGGATGACATTAGTTTCAAAACATCAACGTTTTATGAAATGCTTGTCACCCTGGAACTAAGCTGTATGTGTTTTATAAAGCATTGCTCTATAAACAGATGTGAGTAGCGGATACGTACTCAATTGCTACTATTCCTTTTGAGGAAATGTTTACAAAGGTTTGCCTTTTAACAACATATCTCAGGCTCACTTTCCCTGCAGTTGCCATGTGTGTGACGACATCATTGCTTCAATCTGGGTGTTTGGGAACATTATTTAACAAGCAGGGCTAGGTCAAGACCATATTTTTAAAAATAAATTCTGACGCCACTGCTCTGGTTGTGTGATGTGTGCGTAGCTTGTATTGAACCCATGCCGCCTTTTCAGAGTTGGTTGTCTTTTCGAAAAGTCCTTAGTTGGCTATTTATTTTACTTCCCCCACCCCCCCTGCCCACTGTCTTATGAAAATGAGCCAGGCCCTTCTTGAGGATATTTTTTGCACAAAGTCAAATTGACTAAAATCAATGAACAATGCAATAGGAATTTCTTGTCCAAGAAGGTGTTAGAGATCTAGTTCTTCGGTTTGGGATTCTTTTTGCACTTTTTATGAACTCTTCTTTTTTTATGCTACTAGAAGCGTAGTTTCAGGGTAGAAACCCCTCCTTTTGATCCTCTTGAGTTCCTCTTTCGATAGGAGGAGTTCATACTAGTATTCATGTAGCAACCTCATTTTTAAAACGCCCCTGTCCTCGAAATGTATGAGTTACTTTGCTAGGGTGAACACAAACGGATAAATCGGCCAGAGGAACCTGTGTTTAATGGCATGTTTCAGTCACGGCTTTCTCTCTGGAAAGAGATCGAGCAATGGGCCTTGAGTTCAGATACTGCTCCTTCTGCCCATCCCATCCCTCTTCACCCCAGCGCTTAACAACGCAGGGAGAAATAGCAAGTGAACAAAAGCCCCAGTGGTTGTTTGAACTGGACATCTCATGTAGTTCTCTCCATGAAAACGAGCCAGTAGGGGAGGTAAGGGGTGAGCCAGGAGCCCGTCATTGGTACAATCCAAGAGAAAAAAATCTTTCCCACACGGGGGCTGCGAGAAAGTGAAAATTGTCCTTAAGCTTACAACCAGAAGAAATTCTAAACTGTTACATTGCCGACGGTCTCAGTCATGTGCTGTATCAGCAACTGTCTTCTGACGTGCAAATTGTGTGGGGTTTTCTTTTTTTAAAGCACCAATTGATCAAGTAGTGTATTTGCATTTATCTAATCCCAGAAGCCTGACAGTTATTTTCCCTCCATTAAATTTGTCCCCATAAATCTTATTTGTATGTGAAGAAGCCTCTTTGTGAGCACCTGTCTGTTTTCAGAGGTCTAGCCACAAAAAAATAAATTTTCCAAGAGAAGCAACTTTTTTTAAAAAAAAACACCAATGCAAAATAGCTTTAGGGGAGAAAGGAAGAAGTTGAAAATTAAGTAGCAATAGAGGTTTATAAATAGGATATGTAACAGAGAGATTGCAGTGTTTGTTGTAGAAATATAACCTTGTAAAATCTTTAGTCTGAGGAGGTCAACAGCCAAAGAAGGTTGAATTGCTCAAATTACAGTTCTTCCATTAAAGGTTTTTTTTATTATTATTATTCCTTTAGAGTAACAACAGCAGACTGTTGCAATTATTTTACAACATATACTGGCATCTGCTTGGAAATGGTGGCAAAAATCTTACCTGCTGACACAGCAAGCACAAGAACAAAACCCAAAAAACCTTTTGGGAAAAAATGTCTTTGCCAATAATAATCATGTAGACTTTGACATTGGTCAAGATCAGTACTTGATTCAAGCTGGCGAAATGACTTCTAATATTAAGAGAGACCAGATGAAACAAGCTTTGACAACTGTGAACCTTTCCTTTTCCTTCTGTTGTTCATGGCCACTTAAGTCTCGTTGGGTTTGTTGGCTTACAATGTAGGACTTTGAAGGCCAAAGCTGACCAAAATAGTTTTCCTTTTAATTAAGAAGGCGTGTTGGGGCTTCACCGTTAGAATTCTGATTACCATTCATGTTGGGATTTATGTTTTTAAGCATAGCTGGGGGAAATAGGGCAACTGCATTGCAAGCTAAAAGACTTTTCCGCCAGCTTCACGTAGTTGTTAGTCGTAACCCAGCTGTACTTCATAGTTAAGTTAAATGGTTAACTTGGATGTGGAAGTTCAGTGTTCCTTTCTCTCAGGAGAGAGAAGTCCTGGTTCTGTGGTTGTCTTTCTTCTCCAGTGTGCGAGTTCACCTAATGGATGTTTTAGATTTCATCTTGAGTCCTAACAGCCGGATTCTCAAACTATGGCCCCGATCTTTTAAACTGCCCATGTTTTGTAACTGATGTTTTGTGCAGAGTAAAAGGTGCTGTACGAGGAATTCCATTTGCAGTGGCTTTTGTCTTGTAGTTACGTGATTCTGTTAACCCTTTCTTGGTCGGACCTTGAAAAATACGCATTGCATGTTTGCTCCAAGTCTTCAGAGATCTCAAAGCCTAACATGGATAGTCTTAGAAAAATGAAATGCACACCTGGTGTTTACTGTCCTTCAGAATAACATGATAGCCACCTTTCTCTTATACAGGAGCTGGTATTGCCCCAAAGAACTCACAAACTGGATTCCTAAACCCTCTTATTTCGGAATAAATTCCATAGTAATTATTTCAGTCCACCTTCTTACTTGCTCTGGGGAGAAGGCCTGGTAAGAGCTTTGGGCATAAGCGCACCCCTTCCTTCCAACTGTGAAGTCGAAGTCACAAGAATTGTGTTATCTTTAAATAAATGCAGTAAGAAGATGCTATAAACATTGTACAATTTATTAGTTTCATCCTGCCCTGGGAACGAGGGCTACTAATGCATGAGAGGGCTGACTCACTGGGTTGAGAGACCTCAGAATTTAGTTAACAGACCTCAGTCACAACATTCTAGAAACACAACATTATATAATGCCATTATCTGCAGATCCCTGACAGATGTACTTGTGTGATGCATGTCTTGGCAAACGAGACATTTATCACATTGCATTCTACATTTTTAGTATATAGCTGCAGATGTAAATGTGTGACAAAGCCCACGGTGATTATTTTTGGATGCCCCAAGTCACACCATTTCTGTGACTGGTATGTTGCTGCTACAGCAGCAAGGTTAATTTGATTGCCGAAAATGGGGTTTGCAAGAAACAAAACGTTATTTGCAGAATTTGCCTTTTTTAAATGTCACATTGAATACTTGGTAGAAGAGAGATGTATAAATCTGCACCATAAAAAAATGTTTTCAATGAACTCTCTAAGAGTAGCTGTTTCCCTTTTCCAGGGAACCCTGACAAATTGTAGCAGGTTTTTGTTTTTTTGAAGAGGGTGGGATAATAAAAAGATGGCAAGTCCCTCTTTTCTGGCTAAATTATCTGGGCCTCATGATCTTGGGGCAAAACATGAATATTCCACGAGCTATGATTTGAACTCCTGAAGTGGTGAGGATGTGTATGCAATTTTTGTTTGCTTTAAACCAGGCATAGGAGACTCTGGTTTTGATAGAAGCAACGGTGCTGTTGGGAACTGTACTGTGCTGTTTCCAACTCTAAATTCTGCCTCTCCCCAGCTGCTGTAAGTCCAGCAGCAGGAATAAAGCGACATGTGCCTCTATTGTAGGGGTTGTGTTTTTTATTGCGGGTCTACAGGACAGTTTAGAGCAATGGAATGACCCAAAAAGGAAGGATGGGGGGAAAACCCTACTTTAAAGCAAAAGAAGGAGAGTAGAACAGTTACTGGATCTTCCTTATACAGGCGACTTCCCACTTACACAGGGGTTACATTCCGGGGCCCAATGTGCGTAAGTGAAATTGTGTGAAGTGGGCAGCGCCCTCTAAACACCCTTTAAATGCCCTCTCTGCTGCTGGCTCTTCAATCCATGCCAAAAATACTGTATCCAAAAATATCCACAAACTAGAATTGAAGCTCTGGCACTGGCAAGAGGCTCGAGGACGCAAAGGAAAGCTCCTGCTGCTGCTGCTGCTGTGCTAACCTGCGCGGCTGAGCAGCGTAAACAAAGCCCCGCTGGGTCTCCATTCTTTTCAGGGCTTCCTCTGCTTTCACTGACGTCCTCTTCAGGCTCCGGGGAGAGTCTCCTTGCGAGCCATGAGGTCTCTCCTACTCCCTCCCATCATTCCCAGGTTTGAATTGAATTAATGAATTAATTGACTTATTTAAAGAGCCTGGGCAGCTCAGTTGGTTTGACTGTGGTGCTGATAGCACCAAGGTTGCAGGTTCGATCACCCTTTGGGGACAGCTGAATATTCTTGCATTCTAGGGGTTGGAATAGATGATCCTTAGGGTCCCTTTCATCTCTAGAATTCTACGATTGTATTTAATTATTACCCAGTGCCACGCGTATACATGGCCATGCGCAAGTAGGACACGCATTAAGTGATGGGATGCCTGTATATGTTCCAGCCCTTAAGAGATTGGCAGGAGAATCTGCTAGCAGGGCTACCGTTAGGCGGAGGAGATTTTGGCGTACCACTTAAAGGATAGCGGATCACCAGCTAGTAAATATTTTTACCACCATGGATGGGGAGGGTGTTGAACTCTTGGCCTCGCACATCAAAGTGTCTGCCAGGATACTGAATTACAGCCCGTCACGGGGGGAACTTTGGATGCTGTTTTCAGTGCTGTTAATCTGCTTAATTTAGTAGTATACTTGGCAGCATTTTAATAACGTATTAAATAACGACTGGAAAAATTAAAATGCCATGTTTGTGGGGCTGATGGATAAAATGGAGCTGGTTTGTTCCCTTAGTTCACATTAACAGTAGCCTTCTCAGCATGGGCAGAGGCTGCAGTCAGGTTCTGTCACATGGAAGCCTTGTATTTGAATGTGAGAGCTGTATCCATGGCTGCTGAAGTTCACATTGCAAACAAAATTGCTGCGAAAGAAGCCTACCCTTCCCTGGTCCCCAGGCGATGGTGTGTGGGCTGCTTCGAATGTGAATAGAGCCTGTGAAATTGGTGGCTGAAGACTGCTGCATTTAATGCTGCGTTTTCTGGCAGCAATCCTGGCCTCAAATGTTAAAATGCCCATATGAATATGAGCTCTAATGTTTCCACCCATTGTACGTCTGATTATTGTGCATACTAATATCAATACCACTTCTGGTGCTTTCTGACACTCCCAAGTATAAATCTCCCATTCCTAGCTGGTTTCATGCATGCAAGCGGAACTAGATTTGTAGTTATTGCTGCAAACAGCCAATGTCAGTGACAGAAGCCTTCAACTGTTCTCAAAGGAATTCTCCTAAAGTTGGGTTCCTCACATATGTATAAATGGCTCCCCAGGATTGTACCCAGCAAAGCTATATGTATTTTGTGATTCTTCAGTAGCACTGAAAAAAGTTGCAGGATAGTATTGGGTGTAGGACTCCTGCTAACCTCACCTGCACCAAAACACAGTTTTCTGGTGCTTTATACTGTGTGGGCAATTAGTCTGCTGAAGTTAGAGGGCTGGTTGAATAAAATGTCCATAAATTGAGGCTAGGACTTCAGTATCCTTCATAGCTCCCTGCTATTCCCTAATACAAAGGTAGAACAAATAGTGGAAAATTGTAGAATTACATGAAATAGTTAACACATGGGAAATAAGATCATGCATATTTGCTTAGTACATACCGTATATACTTGAGTATAAGCACCTAATTTTACCACAAAAAAACTGGGAAAATTTATTGACTCGAGTATAAGCCGGTTCACCACACCACAAACCTAGTGGTGGCGGCAGTGTCGGAGGAAGAACAAGCAGCTCAAAAGGACCCTCACTCGAGTATAAGCCGTGGGAGGCTTTTTCAGCATAAAAAATGTTCTGAAAAAGTCAGCTTATACTCGAGTATATACGGTAATTTAGACAAGCTGCAGAAACTGGATGCAGAATTTTAATTTTTTTTAAGAATGGAAACTCACCCAGGTTACCACCATGTCTGCTTAGAGGTTTTGTGAAGCACAGAGTTGGGTTTTCTTCATATTAATAAAAAGGAACGTTTTTATTGGAGGAAAATATGGCTGTGATCACAGAGGACGGTAATATTTTCACCTTCACTACCTATCATGGTCCTTGTGGTTTGTTGCTGTGAAGGTGGAGAAAGAAGACTAATTATGCATCAAAGTTGAAATGTTGTCAATGGCGGTGAATACTCATTTGTGTTTGTAACTTGCTGATCAACCAGAAGGTAGATTTGTGTGTGTGCTGGTTCAGTTCAAAGTATTACTGGTAAAAGGGTTTAAAAGCTTGTCTGTTACAATGCAATCTCAACTTTCTTTTCCCTTTTTTTTTTTTGCAATTGGCAACTTTGCAGTAGCCATCAACCTGTGTATACAACCCTCCTAACAATTTTAACACCTAGTTATTTCCATAGGCACTACCAACTACTAGCTTTGCATTAAAAAAACAAAACAAAAAAACCCTTGTATAACTTGCTTGCATAGCTAGCCTTGTGTTCTTGATACCTGTTGGCCATAGAAGAACCTATGAAATCCCAAAATGGCCTTTCATTGTTTGTGACCTGGAACTGGGATGTTTATTCCCTCCCCCCTCTTGCTAAAAGAGGATATTAGAGTCTCTTAACTTAACCAATGTGATGGAATTTTGCATAAAGCCAATGTAACAACTTAGATCTTACTGTGCTTTAACTTAATGTCTGACCTATAAGTACTTGTGACAGATTAAGATTCAATAAACACACTTTTTAAAAAGGTTTTTGGCGGTTTTTATCATGTGTTAGGAGGCACCAAAGGTTGTACCACTTTCTTCAATTGCTTACTCCAAAGGCTGGTTGTTGCCAGAGCTGTGTGTATCTCACTGTTCTTTCCACATTGCCGCAATGTGTGGCATGGGATGCACAAGCTCACTTCATTTCTTTTAAACTTTCTGGTTCTTACAGCTTATTCTACAGCGTGAGTCAACCCTTCCTGAAATCTCAGAAGACAGGAAGAGAGAAATCTGTAAGAAGCTAGTGGGAGGGTTTGTCTTGTGTGGCTCCTTACCTCTCCCTAGGACTAGCCAAACAAAAAACAACAACAATAAAAAACAGAATAAAGTAGTAAAATATTTTAGGGGGAATTGCTGATATAATAATGCAGTCATCCAACTTCAAGGATCTTTAATCTGCAATAGTGACTGTGAGGGAATTATGACAGGTGCAGCTATTTTTAGCGAAAATTACATATGCAGTAAAGCAGTTATCTAAAAGGTACAGGAGTTCTAAAGCTGATAGGGTTGATCCACCCCGTTGTAGAGTTTAGTCAGTGCCTGGTTTTCCTGACACTCAAATGGCATTCTGCAGCATAGCTCAGCTTTGTAATAATAATAATAATAATAATTTATTATTTATACCCCGCCCATCTGGCTGGGCCTCCCCAGCCACTCTGGGCGGCTTCCATAAAACCAAAAATACAGTAAAATCACACGTTAAAAACTTCCCTGAACAGGGCTGCCTTAAGATGTCTTCTGAATGTCAGGTAGTTGTTTATCGCCTTGACATCTGCTGGAAGGGCGTTCCACAGGGCGGGCGCCACTACCGAGAAGGCCCTCTGCCTGGTTCCCTGTAGCTTTGCTTCTCGCAATGAGGGAACCGCCAGAAGGCCCTCGGCGCTGGACCTCAGCGTCCGGGCAGAATGATGGGGGTGGAGACGCTCCTTCAGGTATACTGGACCGAGGCCGTTTAGGGCTTTAAAGGTCAGCACCAACACTTTGAATTGTGCTCGGAAACGTACTGGGTAAATGGTCTTTCTATTTATACATTAAGTGCAGAAGAAATAATGTAAGGGCCTTTTGTTTTATGGTGCAAATTTTTATACCTCTCCACTTTAGCCTCATTCCATCCCCCTTAAACTGTGTTCCGGTGTCGGCTAGGGTTCATTGATAAAATGAGGAATAGCAAATTCCTTTCAAATAAACCAGCTTGTTGCCATTTTCCCTCTCCAAGACCATACCCAAGTAGGACCAAAGAGCCTCTTATTGCTTTGTATGAAAGGAGACCATTACTGGAAATTTATTTCGAATGATCATTGTCAGACAATAAATTAAACACTTGATAACCTAAAACACACACACACACACACACACACACACACACACACACACACGCATTTGAGACAGCCTATACATAAAAATATAGAGGTGGGAGTTTGGGCTATTGCACTGGTGGGAGGTGTATCAAAAGCTCATTCATAAAGGTAAGTGGACTAAGCCACCTGCTTTCAAGGAGGTATCTTTGCTTCCTATCCTTTGGCCACGGAGAGAACAACAAGCTGGGCAGTGCCTGTGGAAGTAGCATAACTAGGAGCCATGGGTGTAAGTCTGATTTAAAGCATTGAGACTGAAAATTGAAGACTTCAATGTAATCATTCCATACTTAGATGAGAAGAGAGGGCACAGACCAATTTGCTTTCTCGCTTAAGGTTTGCTTGCAGGGGTACACACGTGGTTGGGGGCTGTAAATTGGCTTTTGCACTTGGAGTGAAGCATTCATAGCAGCAGAACGTACAGATGTGAGGAACTAAGGGGAGCCCAGCAGGTTTTATTTGAGCCATCACACAACCTGCAGGGGAGCATTTCCACCCCTAAATCCACATGCCTAAATCCCATTGAAGAAAAAAAAGCTTTTCCCTCACCTCACCCCACTTTAAGCAACAGATTGGAGTTGTACATGGTGTAGTATTTTGAAGAGAATGGACACCCAGCAGAAAACATGCACCACAGTTGCTTCTTCCTATGCATCCATTTCTTTCGGTGACACCACAAGAATGTCTGCCATCACCACCTCCTCTGACTGGACTTTTGTCTTATGAACAAGAAGAACAGTCACACATTTCCAGAGTCCTGTGCACTGGGACTGAAGTTAACTTTGCCTCTCCTCTTTGGTCTACTATAGGATATAGAAAGTGAGCTTTTTGCTAGGCTTGTGCAAAAGGGAAGCAGCAGCAGATTCTTTCAGAGCGCCCCCAGGGAGGGAGTTCCCCAGGGACGCCTCGACCCTCAAGTGGTCAAGGGCAGCAGCTGGCTACCACATCTGAAACAACAAAACAGCTACGGATCCGGCCTACTTCCGGTTGCCTCCTCTCTGGAATACAGAGGAGGCTGCTTTTTAGGTGATGTGGTCGAAGAACAAACGCCCCACAGTGTACTCGATTTCTGCACGAAAGTCCCATTGAAATAAAAAACAATCGGTGGAATTGAAGTATAAAATTTTCTTCGAGCTGCGGCACAAGGAAAATAAGCGGTTCGGGAAATGAAAACGGAAATAGGATATTTAAAGGGGGGAGGGGAGGGAAAAAGGGAGAAGTAGGCCAATGTTTATCAACTCGCAGAAATGAATGACTTAATTGCAAGTATTACTGAAAGCCTTTGTGCAGCTGAAATTGATCAGGAGCAGGTTCCGGACTGACGAAAAGAAGCACTCCTGGACACAATGCTGGAGCCATGAGTGAGTGACGGGTGAAACTGAGTCCCCATGTTTAGGGAGTGGATATATTGAGGGCAAAGAAGGGCAGGTCTGAATCCTTATGACCCACTTCAGAGAATCCCAGTGAACACAGCTGACCCCTGATCAAGCCATGCTTCCTGCCTTTTACACCTTGCAGTATACAAGTTTGATGAAGTTCAGCCTTAGGGTAATAAACTGACATATTTGACATGTTTCTTTCTTTGATTAGTGGCTTAGTGCCCCTCCACAATGCCTGTTGATATGGACACTACAAAGTGGCAGAGTTATTGGTGAGACACGGGGCATCTGTCAGCGTCGCAGATCCTTTGTCCTATGCCCTTTTAAAATGTGGGTTTTTTGGGGGGGGCGTTGTTGGATTGTTGTTTTTATTTTGATGATGGGTTTTGTGGCTTTATATTTTGATTCTATTCTGTAAACCACCTGAGACCTGCAGGTATAGGGTAGTATATAAAATGAATAAATAAATCATCATCATCTGTGGATGTTCCCACCACTACATGAAGCAGCAGCAACGGAAAAATATGTAATCTGCAAGCTCCTTTTAAAAGTATGCAACATATTTTTTTTAGAATTTTGAAGACACAAGAAAGAGCTGAGTAACAGCGGGGCTTTATGGTGTGTGTTTTTTAAAAAGGGGGGATCAGCTTCAGCATCCAGCCTGACAATGACTTCTAGAGAACATGCTTACCAGCTGTGACGTTTTGTTCGTTCCAATAAAATTTCAAAATCCAACTGGATTTTGAAATTTTCGACTACTGAATTTTCTTCTGCCAAATAGCCTCGAACCCAGTAGAGCATGAGACACTTAATCTGGGCATTGTGGATTCAAGCCCCACATTGAGCCAGGTTCCTGCACTGCCGGGGGTTAAATGATTCTATGCCCTAGCCCAGGGGTCTGCAACCCGTGGCTCCGGAGCCGCATGTGGCTCTTTTACACCTTTGCCGCGGCTCTGGGGCGGATACTAGCGAGGGGAGGAGGCGCATTGTGCACCCTGACACTCTCCACTGTGGCAGGCGCTGTACTGGCTGTGACATCGCATGGGGGCGGTACGTGCGTTAGTCACGCACCATCCCGACGTCACCTTCCCGCCCGCTGTCAGATCGCGGCTCCGGAGATATATTTGTTTTAAATGTCACAATGGTTTTGCGGCTCCCAGGTATTTTTTCTTCAGAAACGGGTCCAAGTGGCTCTTTTTGTCTTAAAGGTTGCAGACCCCTGCCCTAGGAGTTTTCACTGCAGGATATTCCTTCACAGCACAGCTTCTACCAACACTACCATGTGGTCAGATATAGAAGAAAGTTCCTTGCTATTTTATCCAATTCAACCAACACACCCACACTGTCCTTCTGCCCCACATAATAAAATAGTGCCTCAATATTTGAAGTTGCAACATGCAAACCTAAGAGACAAATCTGGGGCGCTCCAAATGCTGGATTCCCATCTGGCCCAGCCAGCATGCCTAATGGTCAGGGGTGATGGGAGCCACAAAGTCCCCACCTTTACCCTACCTGATGCATGCCAGTGGATGCACCGTGTTTGTGAATAAAGCTTTGTCCATGTTTTGGGGTGGGGGTGGGGGAAGCATTCACCGTTAGGCTAGACACCCTAACGAAAGAAAGGAGAAAAACCATCCTAAGAGTATGGAGGCTAAACCCATCAAACTTAAAAAACACATCTTGCTTGAGAAATTTGTGAATTTCTCACAAATTTGTGAAATTTTCTTCCACATGTCAGTAGTAGAAAGGACCAGGCTTAAAGCAGCTGGACATCTTGGTGCAACTCTCCCCTCTCTGGACAGAAGGTAACTAAACGGTACAGCACAATGCTCTATCTGTACCAAGTGTGGAAATGTTGGTCTTTGGACATGGAAACCACAATTTCCAACATCCCCTCGCAATGCAGCAACATCTGTGCTGAGGTTCTCTGCGAATCGGCTCTTCCCTGCTCCTCTTGGAAAGGGGTGGTTCCATATTTGTCTGCACCCCACAGAAGGTAAACATCAAGAAATCCGAGAGCCAAAGAATCAACGTGAAGTTGCCTTTTTATTGTCAGGAATCTTACTCTGCTTACCCCTCCAAGAAGTGGTCTTCCTCTCCATCTCTACTGGAGGGCTACTCTGATGCACACAGGTATTGCTTAATTTTGCTGCTGCTTACGTGTAGCAGATCACAATATAGCTGATTAAAATGTTTCACTTCTAGACCAACTGCTTTTTTGAAAAACTGCATTAGGATTTTTTTTTTCAGGGCACAGATTTCAGGTTGGGGGAGACCCTAGATGCTGGTGAAACCAATATTGGATCGGGCCATGCAGTACCCAGGGAGAAGAGGCTACATAAGCTAGCTGAGCCTTCACCAAGTTGTCACTCTCCAGCTGTTGCTGAACTACAACTCCCATCATCCTCGACTATCGGCCACATTGGCTGGGGATGATGGGGAGCGCAGTCCAACATCTGGAGGGACCAGGTTTGCCAAGGCTGGTAGCTTATTCCTCTCTAGAACCACAGAGAGCGGTCCATATAAACAGGACGCCCAAAATCCAAACCAGGGGTTTAAGTCATTTTCCTTCCAATGCATGCTGGAAGGGCACTGTTTAGGCAAGTACCGTATTTTTTGCCCTATAGCACACACTTTTCCCCCTCCAAAAATGAAGGGGAAATGTGTGTGCGTCCTATGGGGCGAATGCAGGCTTTCACTGAAGCCTGGAGAGCGAGAGGGGTCGCTCAGGAAGCTATCCGCAAGCCTTGCGAGCCTGGCGGGAGTTCCCGCCGGGCTCCCAAGGCTTGCGGAAAGCAGCCTGCAGCCCGAAGCATGGGGCGCCCTCCAGAGGGCACCCTGTGCTTCGCGCAGGTGTCCGCAAGCCTTGCGAGCCCGTGGGAACTCCCGCCGGGCTCGCAAGGCTTGCGGAAAGCAGCCTGTTCAGGGGGCTGGAAATAAAAAAAATTATTCATTTCCCCCCCAAAAAATGAGGTGTGTCCTATGGGCCGGTGCGCCCTATAGGGCGAAAAATACGGTAACTGAAAGTGCCAACCATGAGGAAATTCCACACTGAATATGGTGGATTCCAGCTCCACACCAACATTTCCTAAACAAGTGTGTTTGTTACTCTTGGCCAAAACAGAAGCCATTTTCGATCCGATTATTTTTACACAGAGCTGCTTCGGTGGAATCCAAGAACGGCTTTGTGAGGTAATAGTCACCCCTTTCTCCTACTTCAAAACCACCCTGGGCCTCTTAATAAATAATAATAAGAAATAATAGCAGCAGCGACCAAAAACCAGGCACTTTGAGAAGCTGTGGCCTCAAACCCCATGCTGTAGGCCTCATATACGCACCAGGAACCAGCTGGGGAAATACAAAGAGGAACATTGGCAACACAGTGAAGTCCCTCCTCCTGTCTCAAGGCGTGCGTCTCCCTTACTCTTCCCCACACACCAGAACGTGACGATTTCACAATTTCAAACGTTTTTATATATTATATATATACTTTAAAAAATGAGGTAAGTCATCTTGCCACAAAAAGACATGCTGCAGCCGCCTCCCTCTCCCCACCCGAATATTCCAGCTGCAAGGGTAGCTATTATTGCTCTGTCTCTGGGTGGACTCTGATTGGCTGCTGGGTGGGCATAGTACGTTATTGCCATGATCGGTGGCCAACGGGGCTGCCCGGCTTTCTGTCCTTGGGTCACCCCCGGGCACAACCCACAGAGACAGAGGCCGCCTCTAGCAAGTGGGAGAAGTGGTGATGGGGCTGTGCAGGTACGGGAGGCTGCTGGCAGTGGAGTGCACAGCCACCGAGACCGGGAAACTGAAGACGAACTGGGAGGTGGGCGTGGAGGAGCTCTTCCCCCTTTCCCTCAGCGTCCCCGACGGGCTGGCGGCCTCGGCGGCGCACGACGTAGCCAGAACCTGGGACTCGAACTGGAGGAGCTGTCCCATGAAGCTGAAGTTGGGGGAGATGATACTCCGGCGCTGCTTGACAAACTCAAAGGCTTCCTCCAGCTTCACCCGCTTCTTCATGATCAGGTAGGCCAGGCAGATGGTCGCCGATCGGGAAATGCCAGCTTGGCAGTGCACTAGGACGCGGCCGTGACAGGCCTTCACGGCGTCTGGGGGAAGCAGAGCAGAAGGGTCAGAACATGGAGGAAGAAGCAATCTCAACAGGCAAGAATTCTTAGACAGCCAGGACTGTGCAAGGATATACAGTGGTACCTCGGGTTACATACGCTTCAGGTTACAGACTCCGCTAAACCAGAAATAGTACCTCAGGTTAAGAACTTTGCTTCAGGACGAGAACAGAAATCGTGCTCCGGCAGCGGAGCGGCAGTAGGAGAGGAGGCCCCATTAGCTAAAGTGGTGCTTCAGGTTAAGAACAGACCTCCAGAACGAATTAAATACTTAACCCGAGGTACCACTGTATAAGTTTTAAACATATTACAGTGGTACCTCGGGTTACATACGCTTCAGGTTACAGACTCCGCTAACCCAGAAATAGTACCTCAGGTTAAGAACTTTGCTTCAGGATGAGAACAGAAATCGTGCTCCGGCGGCACGGCAGCAGCAGGAGGCCCCATTAGCTAAAGTGGTACTCCAGGTTAAGAACAGTTTCAGGTTAAGAACGGACCTCCGGAACGAATTAAGTACTTAACCCGAGGTACCACTGTAATTATCATTCATACAACAAAACTTCTCATACAGTGTTTTCTTTGGACTTCCGTCAACACCTCTGATGATTTTCCGTTCTTATCACTTCTTATGCATTTCTTAATTTCATATTACCTTTAGTTATCTTTAACTAATAATTCTCCTCATTGTCTTTTTTTGCAATATTTCAAATAATTCACCTTACTAAACTTCTTGCAAACCTACTAGCATAATCTGTTCATCACAATTACTTTTCAAATAGTGCGTAAATTTACTCTAGTTTCCTCTAGTAGCTAGAGACCTGAACATTTGCTCCACTGTTTGGAGCTGGACACACAAGCTTCGGTTTTGAAGCCTGTGTCCCATTATCTCCTCTGCCTCACCCACCCAACCTGCCAAGATGAACGTACCTATGTATTCAATCGCTTCCATGAACCAGGAGCTGATGTCGGTTTTGTGGTTGTCTTCCACTGGGATGCATTTGTATTGAAAATGTCCTTCAAAGTGGTTTGGGCAGTCTGAGGAAACATTCAACAAGGCGGTGATCCTCAAGGCGTCCAGCATGTCTCTCCGGGCGGCGTGATGTGCGCTGCCAAGGAAGAGGAACGGAAGGATTTCCACGGGGCCACCCTGCTCTCCGGAAGGGGAAGCAAGAAAGGAGAAGAGAGAGGGATCACTATGACTGAGAGAGGAAGAGGAGGAGTCCCAACAGGAAAAGGAACCGGCAGAGAAGTGTGATGCTCACACGATTCATGAGCTTCACAAAACACATCTGGCAAATGCCACTGACATTACTGGACTCACAACAGGGACAAATAAGAAGCTGTCCCCGTTCACAATTCTCTAGTGATTCTCAATCATCGCCAGAGAATCACAATAGCTTTACATTTGAAGCTTTCTGATCTTAAAGCTGTGGGACCCCAGCTTTCCCCCTCAAACCTGTGGAGGGCATGGTGTGAAATGGAATTGGCTATACCATGTGGTGTTATATATTCTGTAGGCTTACAGTGACTGAGCAAAAACACAAAGCAAAAAGGGTGCAGCAGGAATAATCACTCTGAATTGCATTTAGTGATGCAATTTAGCTTGCTGAGTAATGGTGAGTACACCATTTCTAATCAGGTCTTGGGCATCTGTCTCTCTTGAGAGCATTATGCCGCTATCCCAAACAAGACTCTGTATCGCTTGCTGACAGCACGCCTGCAGCAAGGTCAACTGGCTTTAGAGTTACTTAATAATAGTTTTGCCAAGATGTCCATTCTGAAACTTTTTCACATTGCTCTTCATTGAAAATCTGAACTCTCCTAATAAAACCTAGCCCTTTTGATTCATGCAACTACACTTGCGGGTTCTTTGTTCATTTCCACAAAATTTTAGTCCTGGAAGGCCTGGGAGATTCCACTCCAAAGATCTCCAGATGTTGTAACTGCATTTTCCATCATGTGTCCTTGGCGACTGGGGATGGTGGCTGGAGCTGTTGGGAGGTGTAGCCTACAATATCTGGAGGGTGTTGGCTAGACTATCCCTGCTCTACTCCTAAGCAAAGGAAGGCCACCAAGTTCAAATTCCTACACCATTCACTCTTGAATTATGACTGTGTGTCAGCCAGCATGACAGTAACACCCACACAAGAAATAACAATCGCTATTGACTCTCTCCCATGTTAGTCACCCTCGGGAGCTAGAAATTAATGGACATGACTAACTTAGGCTCCCTAATTATAGTAGGTCTACGCCAAGTATAACTTGGTTGGTTGGTTGGATGCAACCTTATGGCTCCATGGCCTGCTAGACTAGAAGCCACTGCATCCAAACTGTGTACCAAAACATCTTCATTGTTCAGCAAACAACAACAGCTGTACACCTTCTCCCAGCAAGGGAGATCTATATACAGAGGAAGGTTCCTGGACATTCTCCTTGCTGGATTGAAAGACACATGGCCAGATGCACATCTGCATTACTTGGACACCACCACAGTAGAGTGGCATCTTTTTACAAAGTAAGAATGGGGAGAACTAGTACGGCCACACACAATGTATAGTCAGACCGTGCTCGCTGGTTTCTCACTGGCATCCAACTGGCCACTGTGAGAACCGGGGCTGGACTGCATAGGCCTGATCCATGTTCTTATACTATCCAAATTAGGCCAGGCCATTTCTCCACTTCTAAAATATTCCGATGGAGAACATATTTCTCCAGGGCTCGGAGATCCTGTTTCAAGTGCAAAACCAGACCTCTGTTGTTTTAAGGACAGACAGGTTGTCTTTGATTCTTACGGATAATACACCAACCCAGGAGACTGAATTCATATTGCCAATTCAGACAGAGTGAGGGTTTAAACGGCAATAAGCTCCGGAAAGCCAACCTGATCGTGTTGCGGTGTCCCACAGGAGCTGCAGCTGTGCTCAAGGTACTCTGCAGTCGCCACGACGGACGCAGCAGTCGGAGATTTTGTCTTTGCACAGAATTCCGGATATTCCGAGTGAAATCTCTCATAGCCGCCTGAAAGATAAGCAACATCACAGTGTTAAGAGTGTTGGACCTGGGAGATCAGGGTTCAAACCCCCAATCGGTCATGAAGCTCATTAGGTGACCTTGCGCCAATCGCAGCCTCTTAACCTGCCTCACAGAGTCGTTGTAGGGATTAACTGAGGAGGTGGGTGAACCATGTACTTCTTGGAGAAAAAGGTTGCCTATAAATGCAGTAAATAACCTCTTCTGCTTAGCTGCTTAAGAAAGCAGGAGATGGAGATGTCAGTTGCCAGAGATCTCTATGCGGTTGCAATGGGACCCAGGGCAGTCGCAAAACGCGCCTGGCGCCTGGCTAATTTCTAACACTGAATCCAACATTGCATTTTCAAATATTGTCCAGGCTCTATTTACTACGGATGACTTCATAGTTTCCTACTGACCAGGCCGCTTATCGCTGAGGTCTCCAATGCTACCCATCTTTTAACAAAAAGTGCTGTTTTCTCCACATCTACAGGTCACCTGCTGAGAGGCCCACAAATCCAGCTTCCAGGTGGCCAACAGCTCCTCTCTCCCCTCTGGGGACTGATCCTGCTGCATTCAAAGGGTTTGGACCCAGAGGGGAAGCAACCTGCTCCGGTACCTGGAGCAGCACTTATCCCAGGGGGCATGGCGCGCATCCCAGGGGGCGTGGTGTGCTGCCCAGGGGGGTGCAAGGTGAACGGCGCGTGCCCCAGGGGTGCCGTTGATCGGGGGTTGGCATTTTGTCCCTCCCCCTTTTGGAATGGCACCTAGAGCGGCCCGGTCCGCCCCCTTGGAAGCCCCTGCTCGGCCCAACACGTGGAGTTTTACTGCAAACAGGAAGTTAACTTGGGGCGGGAGGAATTTGTGCGCTGGGTGTCTTCTCCAGCACATGCAGAGAGCACAGGACGACCTTGCTTTGGATTTGAAGAAGAGAAAAGCAGTGATAGCCCCAAATGAACTGACTATAGAATGGTCTGATCCAGTGGGTCTTCTGCTTTGTTCGTTGGTTGAACTTTATGAGTTACTTCTGTTGAAATTTACAATTTGATACTGTGAATCGTATATCTTATTTATCCAAGAACACAGCCGGTTACGTCTCATGTGTTTATGGAGTATGCTTTAGGTGACCAAAGGTTTGTTGGTTGTTGCTTTGTCCCCAAAGCTCTGCATGAATTTGGCCTCAGTTCTATGGTGCATGCAAGATCTTAATAGCCACCATAGAACATATTAATCTGTTCAGCAGTCATTGGCACTCATAATAGCTCTGGTAAGGACCACATCACAGTGATCTTTAGCTTCTCGGTAGTGGCGCCCGCCCTGTGGAACGCCCTCCCATCAGATGTCAAAGCGATAAACAACTACCTGACATTCAGAAGACATCTTAAGGCAGCCCTGTTCAGGGAAGTTTTTAACGTGTGATATTTTAGTGTATTTTTGGTTTCTATGAAAGCCGCCCAGAGTGGCTGGGGAAACCCAGCCAGATGGGCAGGGTACAAATAATAAATTATTATTATTATTATTATTATTATTATTATTATTATTATTATTATTATACAACGACATAGTCTAAAAGGCGCCAGTGGTTCGACCAGGGATGCTTCCATTATGTTTTATTTTATTTTTTGTCGAAAGAGTGTGTTGGTAATACAGTGGTACCTCGGGTTACAGACGCTTCAGGTCACAGATGCTTCAGGTTACAGACTCCGCTAGCCCAGAAATAGTGCCTCGGGTTAAGAACTTTGCTTCAGGATGAGAACAGAAATTGCGCGGCGGCAGCGGGAGGCCCCATTAGCTAAAGTGGTACCTCGGGTTGAGAACAGTTTCAGGTTAAGAACGGACCTCTGGAACGAATTAAGTTCTTAACCCGAGGTACCACTGTAACAAGGTTGTGCGCTGCACGTATAGTCAAAAGTAAAATTCCGTTCTGGTTGCTGTTGCCAATTCCTTCTTTCCCAATCTTACTCGGCTACGTGTGATTGCCAAAGAAGAAGCAGCATGCAAGAGAACCTGGAAGGAGAGAGGCCATTGTCCAACTCACCCATTTTCAGAGTTCTCTGCAGCTGCCAGAGGACTTGAGGAAGGCGATGGGGCTCAGTGACAAGCACAAAGGCTGGCTGGCTAGCATGCCAACTCGCCATCTGTCAATCCGAACCTTTTTAGCACACTCACAAACCTAGCCCTCGGGCAAAAAGGCTCACATTCCTTGATTAGTATCACCGCTGGATATTTTTGGAGCAGGGGCAAAAGAAGAACTTCGATCACAGTGCAAGACAGTCACGATATGTGACTTCATAAGCTCATCACCCCAGTATCACAAGAGCTGCGTAGCCTGATTGATGGAGTGCTGAGGAATCTCTCTATTCTTGCCATTTCAAACAGGTACAAACACTGCACTTATCAGGGTCCTATCTGGCTGGTATTCTGCATTCAGCTGACTCACAAACCACACGAGGCCCTTTCAAGTATCTACACTTTTTCCTTCAGGGACTTCCCTTTTGCTGGTTTGTTTTAATATGTTCTGAAGATTTATTTATTTTTAATAGCCCTCTGCAGTGTTGGATGGCAGGTGGAGAGGAGTTCCCTACTAGGACAGACTTTGCTCGTGTGCTCAAGACATCGATTCCATAAAACATATTTTGTTGCACTGTGCAAATATGAGCAAGCCAGGGCTGAACTGATACTACCCTTGCTGGTACCTTTCCCGGGAAAATCAGAGGCTCACTATGTCAGGTTCCTACTGGAAGACCGGACAAATGTTAGAACATTAGCAGTGGCAAAGTTTTTATTGGTGGTTGCAAGATCAAATGAGCCCTATATTCTAAACAAAATGCTTGTTTAACCTGGAAGTAGGCTGTATGAATTGTGTACTGATTTGTAATGATTTGTTGGGTCTCTGGACCGTAATAAAGATTGATTGATTGATTTTTAATAGGCATTTAAAATTTCCATTCTATAAACTGCTTTAAGCTTCGTTGTTGAAAAGCGGTATACGAATATTGCATGCACACACACACAAACACACAAGTTCCCTATCCAAATTTGGGGGTTCCCAAATCATTGTTTGAAGTCCCCCCCTTTTAAAAACGTTGAAGTCCCATTCAAAAGATGTCCTGGTCTCCCTTGCTCCAACACACCTCCCACTATTGTTGTGGAGGGTTGGGGAAACGGACCTAACCAACACACTCTAAAGAATCCTGCAAATTCCATTTAACACTTCCACCTTTCTTGCAGCCCTTGACCCTCAATACTTCTACCATAGAAATGTCTTCTTCCAGTCTGTCTCCACTCTTCACGCCAAGCCCTCAACATCCTTCGTTCCCACAAAGATCAGAAACTTTGTTCTGGGAAAACCGCTCACCTTCCCAAGGGGGCAGAGTTGCAGGCTGGCCACAAGCACGTCCCATGTACAGCAGGGGGCGTGGCGATGCCGCCCACATCATGCCCTACGGCCGACCAATCGGGTCGACCATGGGGCGTGGCTTACCGGATTTAAACCTCCACAAGGCTCCTGCATCGGATCTCCCACCCTCCCACCCTATTTTCATGCGTTCGCCATCTTGGCCTTGCTATGGACTACGGTTGGTCGCCCGTTCAGAGGGACCAGTAGGAATTTTCCCACTTGGCAAATTGGCACCAGCCATGTGGTTTTTGCCTGCCTTGTAGCGATCGTCACAACTTTGTAAGGTGTGGCGGTTCAAGGTAAAGGGACCCCTGACCACTAGGTCCAGTCATGACCGACTCTGGGGTTACGACACTCATCTTGCTTTATTGGCTGAGGGAGCTGGCGTACAGCTTCCGGGTCATGTGGCCAGCATGACTAAGCCGCTTCTGGCAAACCAGAGCAGTGCACGGAAACGCTGTTTACCTTCCCGCCAGAGCGGTACCTATTTATCTACTTGCACTTTGACGTGCTTTCAAACTGCAAGGTTGGCAGGAGCAGGGACCGAGCAACGGGATCTCACCCCATTGCGGGGATTTGAACTGCCAACCTTCTGATCGGCAAGTCCTAGGCTTTGTGATTTAACCCACAGCGCCACCCGCATTTGGCAGTTAGGCATTGGTAAACCTGGTTGATGGGAGGGGAGGTTGTGTCCTTCACCTCCCCCTCCTCTTTAAGGGTATTCCCTTAAAGGGATTCGGGGGTGTGGATCCTGTCCGAAGCCCGGGTATGGGCTAGGGTCATGCCACGACCCCATCGGGGACCCTGGGGGAGCTCGCAGTTGAGGTACATCAACAGGGCTCCCCCTACTGATGGTTGACCCTTACGAGACTACCTGCATGACGGGCAGGAGTCAGATATAGCTGGTTCAGTTCCAATGCCTAAGCCAATATTGCTCACATCTGTAACCAATAAAGTTGTGGCCTTATTTATCCCCTTAACCCAAAATATTGGTGTCTCTATGTTTCATTATCAAAGACATGGGGTGGTGTTCAGGGCCTCGCCATGCAAAACCTAACCATCAATTTCTTGCTTGGCATTCTGCATGCAAATGAGCGCACTCAGCACTTAGGTTACACAAACCTTTCTGTGTAGAGAACAGCAATCCAATGGTCTCATGACTCTCATGAACACATGATTCTCCAAAGGTAGTATTATCCTAAACCACCTACCAACAAAGTGAGGTTTGACAGCAGCCAAAAGACTGATATCGATTCATTGGAGATAATACTACAGCCTCCTTTGATCAATGGAGAGAAGATACGATAACTCTCTCAACATACGGACAAGATTGCTTTTAGATGCAGATTGTGTATGGATAAATATATTTGGAATGCATTTATAAAAATTAGCATGACTTGTTAATAATTTTACATTCCTTGGAATAGTCGTACTACTTATATACCCATTTATTGTATTGTTATCAGCTGCAAGCACTTTTTTCTTTTTGGTTTTTCCCCTTCGTTTTATTTCTCCACTGAATTTTTAAATTAAATATAAATGGGGGGGGGGGGAGGGATGATTCTCCAAGGGTGATCTAACTAGGTACCAAACATACAAAGGATCGCAT